TATTCCAGCCTATGAATACAGCAACTTCAATTTGATCCAATATAGCCTACCGATATAGCCTACGTCGCGCGGTATGGGGGCCTCACCCTCCCGGAGAAAATTTTGAAAATTTAATCACCGCAAATGCGTTTTCTGCTATTCTAGCCCGTGTAAGCAACTCCAAAAGTATCCAATGGTTTTGTAACTGAAATCCCACTCTGTATTACAACCAACCAATCAGACTGTTGCACTTGCATTCACAAATAATAATCGATGCCCGAAAAATGTCGCACAAAGTAGAGTGGCTCCAGACAAAATGTTTTAATACATAGTCAACAAATTCGTGATATTCAATTACAAGAAAAGTAAAATTAGTGTTTTATTAGGGCTCGATGACAGTTAGGGAAGCAAAACTAGCAATGCCCGAAAAATTTCGGGTTTATAGACAGCGGCGCCGGTTTTCTTTGAGAGGCGAAGAAGCGGATTATTTGACGGCCGCAAACGCGTTTTACTGCTATAAAATTAGTTTTTTATTAGATTTCGGGCACTTTATTTTGCCAAGTAGATGAAATAAAAATTTTTTTTCACTTTACCCGTCTGTCCGAAAAGTCAGCTTACCCGAAAGTTAGGGGGGCAGCTGCCCCCCCCCCCCCTGCCCATACGCCTATGATAACCAACCTTATCAGTCCTGCATAAGGACTACGATATTTTAATCAGCAACTTATTTCGCATCATGTAAATTTACATAAAACAATGAAACTACAAACTACTATGCTTATATAGCAATGTCTACAAAACGGTACAAAATCTTACCTACATAATGTTTAAGATAAAAAAATTTAAGCGTTAATCACAGTTAATGCACAGAAAGTCAATTTCAGTCGCCCGTCACCTGTGATATATCATATTGGTAACAGTTAAATCTAGGTTTCAAGTTATGAATTAGTCAGAATACATCAATCTGGTACTACTTGTGTGATTAGGGTCATTCTGTAACGCAACACTATTTCTGAAAACTTGTTGAAAATCGGCGGAGAACAAACTCTTTTTGTGCGAGTACAAGCAACGGTGGACGGGTGGATATGGGTGGCGACGAGCAAATGTGAGTTGCAATAAAACGATAAGCAAATTACACCAACAAATAATTTGTTTTTAGAATTAACGGAAATCTTATCGAGGCGTGGCAGTTAGGGTATATTCTGGTGTGGACATACTCACTCCACACATTCCATCAGTACTTGGTTTCTCACAGCCGGAGGTCGAGAATGAAAACCTCTGTAGGAGATTGGTGAAAAAAAGAAATATTTCCATTCTAGCCAGTGATTCACCAACATATATCCGTGGACCTGTTGAAAAGGGTATTAATGTAGCAGCAGTTTGTTTGGATATCGTCCCTGAATCATCAAGGAAGCGTTCTGGTTTAAACTGTAAAGGTTCCTTCCAGTATCTAGAATCAAGGTGGCATGCGTACAAATTTCCATAAACCAAAGAACCTTGTGGGATTAGGAATCCTTTTACTACAGCATCTTTGTCCGTTGTGTGGGGAACTGTAGTGGGCACTGCGTTTGCTATCCGTTGTACTTCAAGAAGAGTTGTACGGCATTTTAGACTTATCAGACCAACCAACCATACGACTATCACCGATCACACTGTCGATTTCCTCTTGGCATTTCTTCTGGACTTAAAATGGTTCTTTTCGTGTTGCCTTCACTGGTGACATCGGATGCCCCATTAGCACACATATCCAAGTGAACATCAATAAAATCCTTTATGTCGCTTTTGTCGAAAACTTCTTTGTGTTCCTCAATACGCTCAGCAATAAACTGTTTCACCTTCTCGATAGAATTTCGAGCAGTCAATATTTTCGCAGCCAGGACTGGAATGAAACGAAGCATGGGAAACTGATGAATAGGTGAAAAAAAGGTCATCTCTCCCTTGAAATTTATCTCTAGAACTTTAATGATTTGAAGAAAATCAGGATCGCTATAATCATATCTTTTACCAAATACAACTGTACTGATGATATTGGTTGTAGCTTTCATCATTATATCATGAACAATAAATGACTTTCCTTCGTGTGCTGTTATATAGCCTAAAATGATTTTAGATTCTTCCTTTATCCTATCCTCGAGAGTAGCCTTCCCGACTCCTAGATCACGAAGTGCACGAACTGTCATTCTTCTCGCTTCTTTCCATTCTTGTCCACTCGCCCAGGCTACTCCCCTTCCGTCTTTTACAGCCTGTTTAATTCCCCAAAGCTTATCTACTGGTCACTTTATAATTACTGCAAAACGATTTATTATAGTTACTATATACTCAACATCCACTACATTGATCTTTTGAGTAATATCGTATTGAAGTCTTCGCTTTACTAACACTTTAAACCTCCGTCTAATACTTCAAACCTTCTTATTGTAACACGAGACAATGTAAAGGCCGCGGTCAGGGATGACTGCTCCTACTTACTGCAAGATGCACGCGCTACCAAGATGATTTACTGTCTGTAGAACAATATTGCACAAATGCATTCATGACATTACGACACACGTACTGTTAGCATTTGGCTATCTACACGATTGTATTTACCATAAAAGGACAGCGACTTGATTACATGTTAATGACCCCATTCACGAACGAACGACTGTATGCATAAGTCATCTCACAGTTACGACCCAGTTTTAAAAATAGCTTTTTACACTACAGCTATATGACGATAAAAGTGCATTATCGGGTCATAATTACAAATTTATAAATATACGTCCCACTTAAATCTATGTCTTAACAATATATGCGTTGGTTTATGCAGACCGCAGGGGGTGGATGGTCGAATGGTTAGCGAGTGCGGGTTGTATCATAAGGTCTGTCCTTGAGTCAACTGGCGTGGTTTCGATTCCCCGGTTGTACGTGACAAGGAGTAGGGTCACCTGTCCATCCTCGTGGATTTTCTCCGGGTCCTCCGGTTTCCTCCCACGGCTAAAGAGCCCTAGGCGCAAGCGAATTATTGAAAACAAAATTGCACCATATGTGTTAGTCCCGAAATGACCTGGTTTGTGTGGAGTGGACGTTAAACCTCATTTCGTCCTCTCTTTCTCTCTGTGCACGGAACTGTGGGTAAACCTCTAGAAACGTCAACGCTGTTTGATTAATCAATGTCGGACGTCATAGGGTCAAAACACGCTCGTATGACGCCACCCCCCAGTACAACTGGTCAGATCTTCATGTAGTCTAGGCTATCGAAAGTATAAAAAACGAAACGAAATATACATCTGTATTTTTAATCAGATTGTTTTTTCGTTCAGTACGAATTTCGTCATTCCTGATGATATCAGGGCCATGTGTGGTAGCAATAGACACTAAATTAGATTTACAAACACCTATGGTGATACCCATTGCTCCATAGTGATACCGAACCACGGTGAGTAAGTGACTAAGACGCTGGCTCGCTAGTCTGGATATCGCGGGTTGGTTCCCGCTGTTTGTCGAGAAAGTTCATCGGGATTAGCCGGCGTGGTTTCCCCTTGTCAGTGGTGCAGGACGGAGGACCTAACACGGTCATCTGTCTGGTCGTTCGGATGGGACGAAAAACCCAAGCCCCGTGTAGACATTGGCGTGCATTAAAAGATCCCTTAGCAGATGGAATTTGAAATAAGAATAGGCCATAGTGCCGATGTCCGGACAAAATTTCCCTCAAAGCATATAGTGTATGGCGTATGCACGTTTATGATTAGCCCAGTCGGAGCAGAACAGTAGGACGTTAAACCCTATTTCAGTATTCCATGGTGATACGAACTCTAACCGAAACCCGAGATCCCAGCGTGGGGTGCAAATTCAATTCCGAATCTCGGGATAAAAATTTTAGGACTTTTCAAAAACTTTAATTTTAGCGGAATATCCATCCATTGTTACTTGCTTTATTGTAAACGTGTATCAAATACTAATAATAGTGGGGCAGTCTTTAGATAGCTCGACATGGGGTCACTGCTCAAAATCTTAAACGTGTTCTGAATATAATTCATCCTGTATCGACTGTTGACCCCAATACGTCACAGACGACTGTCTACAACCCTGTTGATCAAAGATACCGGGACAACACGTCATACTGAGAGAGATTTGTCCCAGACAGCGGCGCTACGGTCTACTCTTATATCCAATTACAACGTGGCTCCTATACAAACCGGAAAATTGTTCGAGAACTATACAATATGCTGATAGTTGACGGCCAGTGTTTCGATAATTTCAAAATACAAATACTCATGACAATGCCCTCGGCAATGTCATCATATTCTTATTATCCCCCATGACAACATATTCATATTACCCTCCATGTCATCATATCCATAGTACCCCCCATGACAATATTGTACCCCCATTTTCCCACTGCCCCTCTCGTTAACAACAGATCTAGCGAAAATAATAAACACCTATCGCGCTAAATGCACGTACATGCACCATCCATCAACCATCCTTGCTTGTTGGGTCTCAGCCCCTGTGGGACAGAAAACCAGTTAAGCCTATGGTGATCGACTGATTGAGGTTGATATGCATTTTTCTCTGATTTTGGTTTTGATGTTAAAAACGATCGCTGTTAGCAATCATTATAATCATAATTCCGCATTTATCCCCGTAATAAGATTGTTAGGGGCCGCCATCGCTCTAGGGATTGCGTCAGTTAAATGGCTCTAAAGAAAATAATCGAATGAATCTTTGTAAGCAATACCAGAATCTTTGTAAGGAATAGCAGAACCTTTGTAAGGAATACCAGAATCTTTTGTAAGTAATACCAGAACCTTTTGTAAGGAATATCAGTTCCTTTGATGCTTGCTTTTCGGGACCTAACCACAATCCCTACTCTTATATCAAATTCCAAGGGATCTTTTACGTGCACGCCAGTTTATTATAACTGTTTATTGGAATATGTTAATCTGTTCATCTCAACAAGTAACCCATTAATTAGCACCTGGCTGTTCAGAGGGTTAAGATTGGGTAACGTAAGTAAATGAACTTCTTTCCATTAGTTGAAAGCTGGTATATTTTATTTATTATGTGAACTGTATTTTACAATAAGATTTAACATTAGTCTCGATTTAAAGTCAAATCAACAAATCATATAAACAATTAGCTTGTCTGACAAGGTAACACGCCCACCGATTTACTTGTCTGACAAGGTAACACGCCCCCCGATTAACTTGTCTGACAAGGTAACACGCCCCCCGATTAACTTGTCTGACAAGGTAACACGCCCACCAATTAACTTGCCTGACAAGGTAACACGCCCACCGATAAACTTGTCTGACAAGGTAACACGCCCACCGATTAACTTGTCTGACAAGGTAACACGCCCACCAATTAACTTGCCTGACAAGGTAACACGCCCACCAATTAACCTTCAATAACAATCCTTATCAGACAAGGTCAACTGCATAAGGAATACGATATTTCGCATCATGTATATTAACATAAAAAAAATGAAACTACAAACTACTATGCTTATATAGCAATATCTACAAAACGGTACACAATCTTACCTACATAATCTTTAAGATAAAATATTTAAGCGTTAATCACAGTTAATGCACAGAAAGTCTTATTTCAGTCGCCCGTCACCTGTGATATATCATATTGGTAACAGTTAAATCTAGGTTTCAAGTTATGAATTAGTCAGAATACATCAATCTGGTACTACTTGTGTGAATAGGGTCATTCTGTAACGCAACACTATTTCTGAAAACTTGTTGAAAATCGGCGGAGAACAAACTCTTTTAGTGCGAGTACAAGCAACGGTGGACGGGTGGATATGGGTGGCGACGAGCAAATGTGAGTTGCAATAAAACGATCAGCAAATTACACCAACAAATAATTTGTTTTTAGAATTCACGGAAATCTTATCGAGGCGTGGCAGTTAGGGTATATTCTGGTGTGGACATACTCACTCCACATATTCCATCAGTACTTGGTTTCTCACTGCCGGAGGTCGAGAATGAAAACCTCTGTAGGAGATTGGTGAAAAACAGAAATATTTCCATTCTAGCCAGTGATTCACCAACACATATCCGTGGACCTATTGAAAAGGGTATTAATGTAGCAGCAGTTTGTTTGGATATCGTCCCTGTATCATCAAGGAAGCGTTCTGGTTTAAACTGTAAGGGTTCCTTCCAGTATCTAGAATGAAGGTGGCATGCGTACAAATTTGCATAAACCAAAGAACCTTGTGGGATTAGGAATCCTTTTACTACGGCATCTTTGTCCGTTGTGTGGGGAACTGTATTGGGCACTGCATTTGCTATCCGTTGTACTTCAAGAAGCGTTGCTTCGTTGTACGGCAATTTAGACTTACCAGACCAACCAACCATACGAATATTGCCGACCACACTGTCGATTTCCTCTTGGCATTTCTTCTGGACTTCCGGATGAAGGATCATATAGAGCAATGCCCAATCGAGGGTGGTAGCTGTCGTGTCTGATCCAGCAAGAAATAGACTTAAAATGGTTCTTTTCGTGTTGCCTTCACTGGTGACATCGGATGCCCCACTAGCACACATATCCAAATGAACATCAATAAAATCCTTTATGTCGTTTTTGTCGAAAACTTCTTTGTGTTCCTCAATACGATCAGCAATAAACTGTTTTACCTTCTCGACAGAATTTCGAGCAGTCAATATTTTCGCAGCCAGGACTGGAATGAAACGAAGCATGGGAAACTGATGAATAGGTGAAAACACACCCATCTCACCCTTGAAATTTATCTCTAGAACTTTAATGATTTGAAGAAAATCAAGATCACTATAATCATATCTTTTACCAAATACAACTGTACTGATTATATTGGTTGTAGCTTTCATCATTATATCATGGACTTTAAATGGTTTTCCCTCACATGCTGTTATATAGTCTAAAATTATTTTAGCTTCTTCCTTGATCCTATCCTCCAGAGTAGTCTTCCCGACTCCTAGATCCCGAAGTGCACGAACTGTCATTCTTCTCGCATCTTTCCATTCTTGTCCACTCGCCCAGAGGACTCCCTTTCCGTCTTTTACAGTCTGTTGAATTCCCCAAAGCTTATCTACTGGTCGCGAACTGAACAGATCCTTTTGCTTCACAAAAGCATCCTCGATAGATTCGAAATCGTTTAAAACTACCAACAACTGGTTACCGAAATAAATTCGAAAAATGTCGCCATATTTTTCTTGAAGTTCTGCATAATATTTATGTCTCTTACCTACTCGTTTGCCTCGTATATCCAGCATGTTTCCCACAATTGGCCAATATGATGGTCCAGGAGGAATCCCAGATCGTTCCTGCATTGAGATGACATATCCAATAACTAATATAAAGACAAGAGTCAATAAAATGGTTTTTACATCAGTAAATGATGTTAGAATATCCCACATGTTAATCATATCTATACAAGTAGATCACAGTCGACCTATCCTAATTAAATGTGAACAATCACAATAGGTTTATATGTCTCCTAATTAAATATCAACATACACCAAATCACAGTCGGCCTATATGTCTTCTAATAAGATATTGTAAACGGTATGCTAATAACCCACGAACAATCACTGAGTGTATACACCGATATAAACAGATATCGTATAGATCTCTCTCCCTCCTACCAACATTCACTAAACAGACACCTTGCTCAATTGTTCACTTTATAATTACTACAAAACGATTTATTATAGTTACTATATAGTCAACATCCACTACATTGATCTTTTGAGTAATATCGTATTGATTTACTAACACTTTAAACCTCCGTCTAATACTTCAAACCTTCTTCTGATTGTAACATGAGACAATGTAAAGGCCGCGGTCAGGAATGACTGCTCTTACTTACTGCAAGATGCACAACCCAGACGATTCACTATATGCTCAGATTGTCACCGTGTTCCATCAGATCAGTATTGCACAAATGCATTCATGACATTACGACTCACGTACTGTTAGTATTTGGCCATCTACACGATTGTATTTACCATAAAAAGACAGCTACTTGATTACATGTTAATGACCCCATTCACGAACGAACGACTGTATGCATAAGTCATCTCAAAGTTACGACACAGTTTTACACAACTGCTATATGACGATAAAAGTACATTATCGGGTCATAGTGACAAATTTGCAAATATACGTCCGGGCCCGTATCTACAGGGGGCGCGGGGGGCGTGCCCCCCCCCCCGCTCAGAAATTGCTAACAATCATTAAAGTATACACAGTTCCTTATTTTAACCTAAGAAAACTACGCTTCCCTAAGCAGGGGGAGGTATAATTCAGGCGACAAATGAATTGCGCGCTAAACTACAAACGAAAGACTAGGCAGCTAATAACATAATCAAGGGAGATAACTCTGCCGATATCGTTTTAGGCCACGTTGTCACAAACACTACATACATTATTATTGACACAAAAAAAACAGGTAAAATAATTGTTTTGTCCAAGGAGTTTGAATATATAGATTGGTCCGAACTGATGGATAAATATATTACGTCAAAGTCGCCAAGGGTAAGGTCTGAAACAGCATCTACATCTATGGACAGAAGTAACGAGGTCAACAAATGCCCAAATGATCTTGGAATGTTGACCACTTGTCCGGCACAACCGCAGACAGGTATACAATTCCCGAAAAATTCTTCTGGCCGGAAATTTTCACCCATGTGGTATGCACGTTTTCCATGGCTTGAGTATTCTGTAGAACGTGACGCTGCCTTCTGCTACGCGTGCCGACAGTATGTGAGGCAACATTTTCTACCATGGCCAGTATAAATAGTGAGCAACGTCGCTCCATGACGTACATGCGCCATCGTAACTTGGTTCTGTTGGCATTTGAACGAAGACGAACTAAAATGATTGACATGGACCAATTTATTACCAAATTTCAACCAAAACACACGCGTCTGCAACTATCATAAACTAACTGTTTGAAGCCATATGCCAGGAGCGAAAAAATTATTAACATTTACCAGTACTGAGTACTGACAAAGTAAAGTGCGACTCGAAACAAAAATTTAGCGGTATTTACTTATTTTAAAATGCTTATTAGACGCCTAGGTAACTCCATAGCATGATGATTACAACAGTCTGTTAGAATGACCTTTCCGAAAATTTCCTCAAAATGTTCGCCCCCCCTACCGAAAGGTAATGCCCCCCTATGTCTTAAATCTATGTCTTAACAATGTATGACGACAATGATCGACTAATAAAGCGGGACACCACTCATTATCAATTTACAATATAAGTCAGACTTAAATCTATGTCTTAACAATATATGCGTTGGTTTATGCAGACCTTAGGGGTGGATGGTCGAATGGTTAGCGAGTGCGGGTTGTATCATAAGGTCTGTCATTAAGTCAACTGGCGTGGTTTCGATTCCCTGGTTGTACGTGACAAGGAGTGGGTCACCTGTTCAACCTCCTGGATTTTCTCCGGGTCCTCCCACTGTTAAAGAGCCCTAGGCGCAAGCGAATTATTGAAATTAAAATTGCACCATATGTGTTAGTCCCGAAATGACCTGGTTTGTGTGGAGTGGACGTTAAACCTCATTTCTTCCTCTCACATACCCAAATATACCCCACTCTCTCTCTCTCTCTCTCTCTCGCTCTCTGCACGGAACTGTGGGTAAACCTCCAGAAACGTCAACGCTGTTTGATCAATCAATGTCGGACGTCATAGGGTCAAAACACGCTCGTATGACGCGTTCATCGGGATTTTCCGGCGTGGTTTCCCCTTGTCAGTGGTGCAGGACGGAGGACCTAACACGGTCATCTGCCTGGTCGTTCGGATGGAACGAAAAACCCAGGCCCCGTGTACACATTGGCGTGCATTAAAAGATCCCTTGGCAGTTCGAATTTGAAATAAGAGTAGGCCATACTGCCGCTGTCCGGGCAAAATTTCCCTTATAACATATAGTGTATGGCGTATGCACGTATTGATTCGCCCAGTCGGAGCAGAACAGTAGGACGTTAAACCCTATTTCAGTATTCCATGGTGATACGAAATCTAACCGAAACCCGAGATCCCAGGATGGGGTGCAAATTCAATTCCGAATCTCGGGACAAAAATTTTAGGACTTTAATTTTAGCGGAATAACCATCTATTGTTACTTGCTTTATTGTAAACGTGTATCAAATACTAATATTAGTGTGGCAGTCTTTAGATAGCTCGACCTGGGGTCACTGCTCAAAATCTGGCACGTGTTCTGAATATAATTAATCCTGTATCGACTCTTGACCCCAATACGTCACAGACGACTGTCTACAACCCTGTTGATTTAAATATCAAAGATGCCCGGACAACACATCATACTGAGGAAAATTCGTCCCAGGCAGCGGCGCTACGGTCTACTCTTATATCCAATTACAACGTGGCTCCTATACAAAACGGAAAATTGTTCGAGAACTGTATAATATGCTGATAGTTGACAGCCAGTGTTTCGACAATTTCAATTCGTCTGCATGTATATTTTGTATATTTCATGCAGCGTGTATCCGATCGTGACTCACGCTAGTATGACACAACGTTTAGTAAATATTCCCCTGGGTTATTTTTCTTGTGTTACTCCCTTTATGGTTAGTTCGTTTTCCATTTCGAGTGACGTCGGTATCACTACAGGCCCGGTACTGTACAGCGCAGTCGCAATGGACGCTTACTGCTAGTTCCCGGATTATTTCCCTTGATCTGATATGTACGTTTGTTGTTTGTGGTGTCTGTGTATATTTTGACCCGTCCGTGGGTTTGTCTTGTTTAATTGTTAGTGTGTGGTGCAGCCCCCTATTTAAATGTGATGTGGTGATCTGAAGCGCATGTTCACAATTCGATCCACGTCCTCCGTTGATCTATTTATTAAATCTAAATTGGGTCATTTGTGACGAACAGGAAGTGGGACAAAAAATAATTTCAGATTGCCCATTTCTCGGTTATTTCTCAACCGATCTTCTTCAGGTTTTCACTTTTGGATTCTTTGGACAAATCTCATATGGGCTCTGACTGACGGTTTTTCGAAATTCGGAAGTTTGCTCTATTAATATTAGCATAAAAGATTTGCGAAAGTTTTCTTCATCATTTTTTCGACATTCAAGAAGGCATTTCTCAGTCACTATTTGAGGCATCAAGTTGATGCCTTCAATGTGGTATATTAAAAAAATTTGTGACGGCTTCCGGAAATTACCGAGGCATTCCGATTTTTCCCGAGCATAAATAGTTCTCTCCAATTTAAAAATAGACAAAAAATGACATATGGTGGTGATGGCCCAAGATATTATCTTTCATTTTCAAAGACCTTGTCCCATAACATTTTCAACCACTTGGCCGCCATATATATCCGCTGTATCCAGAGATCCAGTTCAATACAGTGAGAAGCAGGCTCGATTAAAGGCTTTTCACAGTACACGGATTACAGACTTTCGGGGTTTACAGTTATTCAGCTGAGCTTAACTGAAATGTTCATCTATCTTTCATATAAAGGCTTGTTGAGGGTGGTAACGTGTCATTTGTTTTCAACATCAGACTTTTGGGGCTACAGTTCAAAGCAGTTTGCTACTGGACTCTACAGACAAAGTCTATTCGGAGTTATACACCGTAATATTTTCTTTCTTCACTATTCTCGTGCATGTTTTGTATGAATACGTTTTGTGTTGTCCAGTTTAAATAGATTTGATAGTTTATAAAGACTCGTTAATTAAGCCCCGTTTACTATTATTCCTAAGCTAGCTGTTGTAATGTGTCCGGACGTCCGTTCACATTTTGTCGTGGACACGGTACATGTCACAAAATCTGACGCGTGCTGGGCGGTTATTGTCTACACTGTCCTCATAAATGCAAAAACAAAAGAAACCGGAACTGGTTGATAAACCTCGAATCCGATTGATTTCCAACCTGGGTGTAGTCACGTGTGTGGCTCTGTTCCCGACCTTCCGACAATTTGCCATCTCTTCTGAAAAAGTGCCCTCGAATTTCGAAAGAATTATCCCAAATACTCATGAAAATGCCCTCGTCAATGTCATCATATTCTTATTATCCCCCATGACAACATTGTACCCCCATTTTCCCACTGCCCCTCTCTTGTTAAAAACAGATCTAGCGAAAATAATAAACACCTATCGGGCTAAATGCGCGTACATGCACCATCCATCAACCCTCCTTGCTGGGACTTAAAACCAGTTAAGGCTATGGTGATCGACTGATTGCGGCTAATATCCATTTTTCTCTGATTTGGGTTTTGATTTTAAAAACGAGCGCTGTTAGCAATCATTTATAATCACAATTCCGCGGTGAAGAATTATGTTTTCATATTAGAATCAATTGATCTGTCTTTGTTGTGGGGGGGGGGGTCACTGTGACTAAGTGGGTAAGACGCTAGCCTGGAGGTCGGGTGTTCGATCCCTGCATTGGCCGAGAAAGTTCATCCAGATTTTCCGATGTGTTTCCCCCTTGTCAGTGATGCAGGACAATTGTCCAGTCGTTCCGATGGGACGAAAAAGAGAGAGAGAGAGAGGAATGAGTTTAACGTCCACTCGACACAAACTAGCTCACTTCGGGACTAACATATGGTTTTAATTTTATTTCAATAATTCGCTTGCGCGTAGGGGTCTTTAGCAGTGGAAGGAAACCGGAGGACCCGGAGAAAACCCACGAGGTTGGACAGGCGGACGAAAAACTGAGGTCCGGTGTACACATTGGCGTACGCGTAAAGATCCCTTGACAGTTGGAATTCGATACAAGAGTAGGCCGTAGTGCCGCTGTCCGGGCACAATTTCCCTCATAGCACACAGTATGGCGTATACCCGTCTTCATTAAACACCATTTCATTTCATTTCATTTCATTTCTGTCATTGTTTTATTTCGCTAAATAAATTGAGGAAAATGGGAAATGGAAAAAAAAAATGTCGAAATTGCAACACGGGCGACGAGAACCTTTTTAACTGTTAGCATACTCAATGCCAATACGCAAACCGATACCACGAACTATATTGACATTTATTCTGTCACCAGTAACTTCCCCTTGACCAGGCTTAAAGTAAACTTTGTCATCTTCTCGCTCCAGACCCTTTTGTAAGTAATATCAGAACCTTTGAAAGGAATATCAGTTCCTTTTGATGCTTGCTTTTCGGGACCTAACCACAATCCCTACTCTTATATCAAATTCTAAGGGATCTTTTACGTGCACGCCAGTTTATTATAACTGTTTATTGGAATAGGTTAATCTGTTCATCTCAACAAGTAACCCATTAATTAGCACCTGGCTGTTCAGAGGTTTAAGATTGGGTAACGTAAGTAAATGAACTTCTTTCAAGTTTTTGAAAGCTGGTATATTTTATTTATTATGAGAACTGTGTTATACAATAAGATTTTATACTAATCTGGATATAAAGTCAAATCAACAAATCATATCTAAACAATTAGCTTGTCTGACAAGGTAACACGCCCACTGATTAATTTGTCTGACAAGGTAACACGCCCACCAATTAACTTGTCTGACAAGGTAACACGCCCACCAATTAACCTTTAATAACCAACCTTATCAGTCAAGCTCAACTGCATAAGGACTACGATATTTTAATCAACAACTTATTTCACATCATGTAAATTTACAAAAAACAATGAAACTACAAACTACTATGTTTATATAGCAATATCTACAAAACGGTACACAATCTTACCTACATAATCTTTAAGATAAATATTTAAGCGTTAATCACAGTTAATGCACAGAAAGTCTTATTTCAGCCGCCCATCACCTGTGATATATCATATTGGTAACAGTTAAATCTAGGTTTCAAGTTATGAATTAGTCAGAATACATCAATCTGGTACTACTTGTGTGAATAGGGTCATTCTGCAACGCAATACTATTTCTGAAAATCGGCGGAGAACAAACTCTTTTAGTGCGAGTACAAGCAACGGTGGACCGGTGGATATGGGTGGCGAAGAGCAAATGTGAGTTGCAATAAAACGATTAGCAAATTACACCAACAAATAATTTGTTTTTAGAGTTAACTGAAATCTTATCGAGGCGTGGCAGTTAGGGTATATTCTGGTGTGGACATACTCAATCCACATATTCCATCAGTACTGGGTTTCTCACTGCCGGAGGTCGAGAATGAAAACCTCTGTAGGAGATTTGTGAAAAAAAGAAATATTTCCATTCTAGCCAGTGATTCACCAACACATATCCGTGGACCTGTTGAAAAGGGTATTAATGTAGCAGCAGTTTGTTTGGATATCGTCCCTGAACCATCAAGGAAGCGTTCTGGTTTAAACTGTAAAGGTTCCTTCCAGTATCTAGAATCAAGGTGGCATGCGTACAAATTTCCATAAACCAAAGAACCTTGTGGGATTAGGAATCCTTTTACTACGGCATCTTTGTCCGTTGTGTGGGGAGCTGTAGTGGGCACTGCGTTTGCTATCCGTTGTACTTCAAGAAGTGTTGCTTCGTTGTACGGCATTTTAGACTTATCAGACCAACCAACCATACGACTATCACCGACCACACTGTCGATTTCCTCTTGGCATTTCTTCTGGACTTCCGTATGAAGGATCATATAGAGCAATGTCCAATCGAGGGTGGTAGCTGTCGTGTCTGATCCAGCAGCAAATAGACTTAAAATGGTTCTTTTCGTGTTGCCTTCACTGGTGACATCGGATGCGCCATTAGCACACATATCCAAGTGAACATCAATAAAATCCTTTATGTCGCTTTTGTCGAAAACTTCTTTGTGTTCCTCAATACGCTCAACAATAAACTGTTTCACCTTCTCGATAGAATTTCGAGCAGTCAATATTTTCGCAGCCAGGACTGGAATGAAACGAAGCATGGGAAACTGATGAATAGGTGAAAAAAAGGTCATCTCTCCCTTGAAATTTATCTGTAGAACTTTAATGATTTGAAGAAAATCAGGATCGCTATAATCATATCTTTTACCAAATACAACTGTACTGACGATATTGGTTGTAGCTTTCATCATTAAATCATGAACAATAAATGGCTTTCCTTCGTGTGCTGTTACATAGCCTAAAATGATTTTAGCTTCTTCCTTAATCCTATCCTCGAGAGTAGTCTTCCCGACTCCTAGGTCCCGAAGTGCACGAACTGTCATTCTTCTCTCTTCTTTCCATTCTTGTCCACTCGCCCAGAGGACTCCCTTTCCGTCTTTTACAGCCTGTTGAATTCCCCAAAGCTTATCTACTGGTCGCGAACTGAACAGATCCTTTTGCTTCACAAAAGCTTCCTCGATAGATTCGAAATCGTTTAAAACTACCAACAACTGGTTACCGAAATAAATTCGAAAAATGTCGCCATATTTTTCTTGCAGTTCTGCATAATATTTATGTCTCTTACCTACTCGTTTGCCTCGCATATCGAGCATGTTTCCCACAATTGGCCAATATGGTGGTCCAGGAGGTATCCCAGATCGTTCCTGCATTGAGATGACATATCCAATAACTAGTAGAAAGACAAGAGTCAGTAAAATGGTTGTTACATCAGTAAATGGTGTTAGAATATCCCATAGGTTAATCATTTCTATAAACGTAGATCACAGTCGACCTATCCTGATTAAATATCAACAATAACAGTCGGCCGATATGTCTTCTTATAATTAAGATATTGTAAACATCATGTTAATAACCCACGAACAAACACTGAGTGTATACACCGATATAAACAGATATCGTATAGATCTCTCTCCCTCCTACCAACATTCACTAAACAGACACCTTGCTCAATTGTTCACTTTATAATTACTACAAAACGATTTATTATAGTTACTATATAGTCACCATCCACTACATTGATCTTTTGAGTAATATCGTATTGAAGTCTTCGCTTTACTAACACTTTAAACCTCCGTCTAATACTTCAAACCTTCTTCTTATTGTAACACGAGACAATGTAAAGGCCGCGGTCAGGGATGACTGCTGTTACTTACAGCAAGATGCACAGCCCAGATGATTCACTATATGCTCAGATTGTCACCGTGTTCCATCAGAACAGTATTGCACAAATGCATTCATGACATTACGACACACATACTGTTAGTAGTTGACTATAAGCTCGATTGTATTTACCATAAAAAGACAGAGACTTGATTTAATGTTAATTACACCATTCACGCACGAACGACTGTATGCATAAGTCATCTCACAGTTACGACACAGTTTTAAAAATAGCTTCTTACACTACTGCTATATGACGACAAAAGTACATTATCGGGTCATAATTACAAATTTATAAATATACGTCCCACTTAAATCTATGTCTTAACAATATATGCGTTGGTTTATGCAGACCGTAGGGGTTGGATGGTCGAATGGTTGTATCATAAGGTCTGTCATTGAGTCAACTGGCGTGGTTTCGATTCCCCGGTTGTACGTGACAAGGAGTAGGGTCACCTGTCCAACCTCGTGGATTTTCTCCGGGTCCAACCGTAGGCACATACTAGTCATAGACACATTGAATGACTCGAACTAAATACTACGGCTAGTATGAGCTTACTTTATTGCAGTGTTTCGAATTTCATCAGTCAAATATCTAGCTTCTTTAGTGAGAAATTTTCTTGGTGTGCTGTTCAAAATTTCGCGGCACACTTAGGAAGATTTAGCGGCACACCTGTGTGCCGCGGCACACTGGTTGAGAATCACTGGTCAGGAAGAACACCCGTGTATAGATCCAGAAACCAAAAGAAATCTGGTGGATAAAAAATTGGTGGAAAAAGAAATCTGGTCGAAAGAAATTGATGGAAATTGGGAAAATGCATTTTCCGATAAACTGAACTTGTTTAAATTTGTTTAACAGATCAAATAATACTCATTTAGCAAGAACTGCAGCGCTAAAATGAAAAATTTGTGAGTGATTAACTCAAACTGTTTTTAGTTGGCGTTCTGCTGGCTCGTTAAAATTCGTGTTTGTGTCGTCCATTTAGCTAAGTAGAGCTAAGATGATTTTGCGACCCTAGTCCAAGTCCAAAATCATGGTGATAGCCAGATAAGGTTGAAAGTATGAGTAATTTAATCTTTGAGTATAAGGTTAGATTTCAATAAGAACAAAATAGAACCCTGTAAGTCGCGAATAGCGTTTAGGGGGTAATAAAACAATAAAAGGAGTTATATGACCTTTGGGTATAAAGGTTAAAATTTTGCAGTAGAAGTGTCAGTATTAAATCGCGAGGATGCGAGTAGGTATTTAAGATAATTGAATCGTTAAATATACGAGATTATCAAGCGAGTCAGTGGTTTAGTATATTACGATTTCGTATATTGTTGCTTTAAAATGTATAATCCTATATAACAACACGCGTTATGTATGTTATTTTATATCAGTAAATTTTGCTTTAAATTGTTCACGCGAGGTGATTAAGAATGATTAATTTGAGATGATGTCACATTGTATTTTTATGTCTGGTTATTTTTAACAAACGATTCTAAATTTGACGTGTGTGGAAGTCATGTGATTTGAGAGAGAGAGAGAGAAATGGGGTTTAACGTCGACTCGACACAAACTAGGTCATTTCGGGACTAACATATGGTTTAATTTTATTTCAATAATTCGCATGCGCGTAGAGGTCCTTAGTAGTGGGAGGAAACCGGGTGACACGGAGAAAACCCACGAGGTTGGGCAGGCGACCCTACTCCTTGCCACGCACAAACGGGGATTCGAAACCACGCCAGTTGACTCAATGACAGACTTTATGGTACAGCGCGCACGTGCTAACCATTCAGCCATCAGTTATGATTTGAATGAAACTATTTGGGTTGAGATGTGCCCTATGATGGACTAGGTAACGGCCGGCTTGTTTCATGTATTGGTGTATTTGTTTTAGCTCACATACAAAATTAATGAGATTAGCCCAAAAAGGTCAGATGACTGATAGTATATGTTTGTGTAACATGGCTAATGTTTATACAAGTTAGGATAACTAAGTCTGATATGGTAAATGTCAAAATAATATTATAATTGTTTCGGAGGAATTATAAAAAGAAAACGCAATTATAAAATTTCAAATTAATGTGTTAATATCAAGGGGTCAAAGTTAGTTTGTAGATTTATAATTTAATACTGTTTTAGAATTCTGATGATTACAGAGACACATCAGAGTTTATTAATAGTTAAATAGAGATTTGATTTTAAATAACGGTAAGAGTTGATAATAAGAGAGAGAGAGAAATGGGGTTTAACGTCCACTCGACACAAACTAGGTCATTTCGGGACTAACATATGGTTCAATTTTATTTCAATAATTCGCTTGCACGTAGGGGTCTTTAGCAGTGGGAGGAAACCGGAGGACCCGGAGAAAACCAACGAGGTTTGACAGGCGACCCTACTCCTTGTCACGTACAACCGGGGATTCGAAACCACGCCGCTCGACTCAATGACAGACTTCATGATACAGCGCGCGCTATCCATTCAGCCATTCAGCCATCCAACCCAACGAGTTGATAATAAAAGTTATAAATAATAAGAAGATTTAGAAATAATAATGTTAGATTAATATTAAAATAAAGTTAGATCTTGGTCTGATGACAATGACATGTTTGATTTGAGGATAAATTGTACTTGTCCACCCAACCAATCATACGTAGAAGAAAACAAAGGTTTTCAGGTTGAGGATATGAAAGATAAAACAGACCAATAGAAACCCAAGAAAAAAAATGGTTTACCAGTTTACCATATTAAGATTTTCTGAGACAGAAGTTAAAGTGAAACTGAACTTTTAAAAACATTAAGTGTAGTGTTATAGTATTTTGAAACTAAGATTAGAGGAGAAGTCAAAGCATCAACACTTAAAAGTTATGTTCTGTGTATTAGGTTTAAAGAGAATTATCATAGGACATTGACGTGCAGTGATGAACTGTTGGAGAGCTTTTGCATGCGATTTTTGATTTTTGTGTTTGTTTTGAATATTATTCTTTAGCGTTAGAAAATTTAATTTCTCGGTGGGAATCGATATAGTTTTGTGTCATGTGAAATCTTGTATGTTTAATCGTATAATATAATATGCATGTTGCATGAATAATTATATAATCATATGGATGTTGGGTTAGAAAAATTGAAGTTTTTTTTCTGGGATCTCCTACCTGATAGTTTCGCATAAATTTTAAAGAGGGGAGGCGTTGTAATACTATTAGATAACTTTTCCGAAATTGTATTAGACGAATACAATTTGAAACGCAAATTAAATTGGTTATGAAATATTGTGAGGTAAACAGAAGGGAAGTCTGTGCTGATATGATACATGAATTGAACTATAGGTTAATAAATACATTTGTCATATGTCATCTTAATGGTCAGGAATGGAATGTGTCTGTTGACCAAATTTGGTAATGAGTCCCTGTTGCTATGCAAGACACGAAGCATGACCGACCACATGATTAAAATTACGTCAAATTTTACCAATTAGGAAATGGCTAGCTAAACTCCAAGCATAGAAAAATACCCGAGATGTGCGCGATTGTTAGACAGCCATGTAGTTCTTGAAGGGGAAAGATGTAGCAGTGCATAATATAAAATGTAGAACCGAGATATGGTATGTGTTGTTCCTGTTGATGATATTATTTAAGATGCAGTATATTCAATCACAACGTGAAGCTATCATTTATGTGGGATGGCATTAATATAAACATCCAAACCAGTTAATACTAGACGATCAAGGACTGTTCCAAAATATGCAGTAAGAAACGATGCATCGGTTATACGCCGGATGTGGCGACCGGTTGTCCCGGTGTCCGCTCTCCGCGTCTGACAGACGACCCATGGTGCTACATTATATTCTGGAGAATAAAACTGCTTAATTTTGTTTTAAAACCCCTTAAAATCCTCTACCTCAGTGCCGAGCAACTAACTCAATATACGTGATATGTTTTCAAACAACTTAAACACGTCAGCCTTCATCTGGAAGTGGAATTAATAAATCCAGACATTTTTTTTTATAAAAATAACGTGTAGGTGAAATTTACCTTTCGTTATCAAGTACAGCACATGGTCCCAGCACTGTATAGACCGCTAAAGGAACCCAAGGAAAAAAATTGACCCGAAATCATAAACGACTCAATATTTTGAGCTGACATTTTGAGACAAGGTAAATACAGCATTTTGGTGTTTACATTTCATACGTACCCGGACTTATTCCAGTGAAGGACGAAGATAATTTGTTATTTATCAGTACTGCGTCAAGCATTTTGCTATTTTGGTATAATCATGAACTATCTAGAATATAAATAAGTGAAATGAGGTTTGGCGTCCAACTGTATCTTGAATATAAAATGTTTCTGTTGTAATGTAAGTGTAAATACACTGGACGAAACTGCATACAGTGACTCTGAACTGAGAACCGTTACAATTGACTAAAATAAAAAAATAAAATCGCCACGTTTTATAAAAATTGTCATGTGAATGCCTATTTTGTATTGTTTTCATTCGATGTGGTTCAGCTATTGAACAATGGGTTCATTTTTTATAAGCACATGGTTTTAGGCTTTGAACTACCCTACATGAGGACGAACACAAGGTAAGTTGTAAATGATAAGGCCAGCTCAATTTTTCGTCATAGGTGATAGGTCACAGAGCTAGCGCTAATCCCAACCCTAACCCTTACCATGAACCTAGCCCCAATGCTCACCTTAACCGTAACCTACAATCCCGCCAACAATCGCGTGACCTAACCTTACTGACATCTCAACGACCTTGACAAAAATTCAGCTGGCCTTAACAAATAGATTTAACCACGAACACTATTGAAAGCTAGTTTTGGATTTATCTCCCTTTTTACGTTTTGACGTATAAGTTTTTATTAATGCATTTCAGAATAGGGATTAATTATGTGCCATGCCTAATAAATACACCTAGATATCTTTTTTTTCTTTTTTTAAATTAAATCTTTTTTAATTAAAGTTCTTCTTTGATTCGGTATTTTATTAAATGTATTTTAGGCATCCTTGAATTTGACTGATTGTCGTATTTTATAATCCAGGGGAAAGATTGCACTCACCATCTCCTATTTTCTTTTTAATAGCCCTACGTCAAAATTACGAAATTTAACATACATTATGCAAGAGCTACGAGCTAAATCAGACTTTAGGCCTGAATTGTTATATAAACTATTAATTAGACATTAATTAACATGAGAATAACTTAATCAACTCTCGATGCCATCTTATGCGTCGGATTTTGACTGGATTTGAATCCGATCTGCTGCTCAATGTTCATTGATGATTAAATCCAAAAATGGATAATCGAGACTATGTTTTTTTATCGTACCGACTTTAGTAGTGATGATCGGGGTTAGGCCCAAAATCCAATCGCTAATATCTCGGTTCAGAATAGAGCAATTTGACTGAAATTTTCCGCATATTCCATTTACATTATCTAGTTTTTAACTAAGTTTGGAGGTCAGAACCCGTAATGCCCGAAAAAAAAATTGTCGCAAACGCGCTTTCTTGCTATTCCAGCCCGTAAATACAAGGTGGTCCAATATAGCCAACCTGGCAGACCTGAATCCCAAACAACCAATTAATCGTCTCAAAGGAGCCTCGCCCTCCTGGAGAATTTTTTTTCTACTATTCTAGTCCGTGATCTGAGTTCAACAACTCAAAAGTTGTCCAATGGTGTTGTAACGGAAATCCCACTCAATGCCGACCTGAATTCCAACCATCCAATCAAACTGATGCATCTGCATTCACAAACACTAATCGAAGCCCGAAAGTGTCGCTCAAAGTAGAGGGACTCCAGACAAAACGTTTTAATCCATAGTCAATTCAATATATAGTCGTGATATTCAATTAAAAGAAAAGTAAAACTAGTGTTTTAATAGATTTATGGCACTTTATTTTGCTAAGTAGATGAAAAAATGATTAATAATTTTTGTTTTCACTTTACTCGTCTGTCCAAAAAGTCATATTGCCCGAAAGTTGTGTCTACAAGCCTGGTGAAGGTACAAAAGTATGAAGTTATGCGAGTCCTTCAAGCATGACTTGGTCCGACCGTTACTAAATTGAACCGACATGTTTGTCTATGAACACGTGTGTTTCGATTTAATGATATTACATATCAAATTTTTACACGGACCAGTAGTAGCTTGTATTAACTGTAATTTGAATAGGTATTCATGTCAATACTGTTAGCTTTGTATTAAGCGTGTGACCTATATAATTTATATTTAATATACCACCGTCATACAATATACAATATAATGATATATTATAAAATACAATATAATGACCCATTCAACCATATTTCTACTTTAAAAAGTTCGGAGAGAGAGAGAAATAGGGTTTAACGTCCACTCGACACAAACTAGGTCATTTCGGGACTAACTAATAATTCGCTTGCGCGTAGGGTTCTTTAGCAGTGGGAGGAAACCGGAGGACCCGGAGAAAACCCACGAGGTTGGACAGGCGACCCTACTCCTTGTCACGTACAACCGGGGATTCGACTCAATGACAGACTTTATGATACAGCGCGCGCACGCTAACCATTCAGCCATCCAACCCACCCTTAAAAAGTTCGGATAAGACTTTGTACACACTGCCAACATTTTCGGTAACATAATAAGCAACATGTTGACCAGGTGCGATGTTGGTGAAAAAAGTAATAGTGTGTACAGTTCGGAAACATTCGGCAACATGTTGTCCAAATGTTGCCGAAATAAATACAAGATCAATTTTGTTGCTGAGATACTAATGATGTTGCCGGGTTGGAGGCAAGTGATGTAAAAAAAAAAATGGCAGCTTCCAGCAAGGAATGGTTAAGCTGCCCAACATGTTGTCGAACTGTTTTCGTGTGTATACAGGGCCAAAATTTTGTTGCCCAGGTGTGTTGCCGAGATGTTTGCAAAAATGTTACCGAAAATGTTGGCACTGTGTACAGAGCTTTATACACACCGTAGAGGAGCTGGACTGACAGAGGGGATAGAAATCAGGGAAAGATAAAAACAAATTAAATATAGAAATAAATAAGTAAAATACATTTTATATATATTGTTAGACTACTGCCTATAGTCGGTATACCTGTCGACCAGTATAATCTACAGGTAACGTTATATATCAACTTTGTTTGTAAAGTTATCAAATGACATGATTGAACTTGTATCACCTTGATTTATTCTACGCAGACCATTTTACCGAGATTTTATTATTCACTTGGTAATCTAATGGTGTTTTATATCGACCCTTTATGTTCATGTTTGAATATGATTTGTTGAACGATATAAACGGCTTGTATGTTTTATTACAGTTATGGACATTGATTGAACCCTTGTATAATTATAATAATCTGTACTTGAACTTAGGGATTACGGGGTTGACCTATGTTAAGGCGAAGGAGCTCTTGGCGATGTCATTAGATACATAGCCGTTAACCACTGATAGATGTTTATTCGCACGAGGATATTTTAAACGGATTGGTGTACATCGAGCACGATTGAGAGGTATATACATGGGAGTATGGCTATATACAGGTGAGTTTATATTTGATCAAAGATTCAGACATTGCTATCTGTTTTAGGTATAAAATTAAATTACGTGATTATCCATGCAAACTTCTCGGGTTATTGAAAAGTGTCATCGGATGTTCTGAAAGGCATACTCCACCTCGTGCATCATAACTCAGATCGGTTGTTTTTGTGGCGAGAGAGCTTGACTAGGGACGAGGTGCCTGTGGGTCGAGTTCGATTGATTTGATTCGTCTGACCGTGAATACATTAACCTGGACTAAAGTAAGGACTGACCGTGGGTCTATTAACCTGCACTAGGGTCTGACTGTGGGTCGAGTTAGTTGGACTAGAGTAGGGGTTGACTGTGGGCCGAGTAAACTGGACTAGAGTAGGGGTTGACTGTGGGCCGAGTAAACAGGACTAGAGTAGGGGTTGACTGTGGGCCGAGTAAACTGGACTAGAGTAGGGGTTCTGACTGTGGGCCGAGTAAACTGGACTAGAGTAGAGTCTGGCTGTGGGCCGAGTAAACTGGACTAGAGTAGGGGTTCTGACTGTGGGCCGAGTAAATTTGACTAGAGTAGAGTCTGGCTGTGGGCCGAGTAAACTGGACTAAAGTAGGGTTTGACTATGGGTCGAGTTAGTTGGACTAAAGTAGGGTTTGACTGTGGGCCGAGTACGCTGGACTTGATTCGGTCTGACCGTGGATCCATTAGCCTGGACCAGAGTAGGGTCTGGCTGTGGGGGGGTCGAGTCAACACCACTAGTGCATGGCTTACTGTGGGTCGAATGAATGGTTGAAATGGACTTATTGGACAAGGAGGTAGTTCACAGCTTGGTTTATACCTGTGTGTTATTTACTGGGGTACAGTATGGGAGTATATTTACCTCGTTGATAAGAAACCTAATAATTTGTCAGTGTGTCCTAGTGTAGTCAGTAAATCAAGCGGTTGTTAACAAGAGTCAACGTGATTAATATTATATTATTAAAATATAAACAGTCTACATAAATAAGGTGATTTATACTTTATTTATTTGAGAAGTGGAAGCCACGGTGGCTAAGTGGGTAAGACGCTGGCTTACTAACCTAGAGGTCGCGTGTTGGATCCCTGCATTGGCCGAGAAAGTTCATCCAGATTTACCAGCGTGGTTCCCCCTTGTCAGTGATGCAGGGGAGAGGGCCTGACAAGGACAGCTGTCTAGTCTTTCGGATGGGACGAAAAACCGAGGTCCCGTGTATACATTGGCTTGCACGTAAAAGATCTTTTGACAGTTGCCTACTCATAGCACTCTGTATGGCGTATGCCCGGCTTCATTAGCCCAGTAGAAGCAGAACAGTAGGACGTTATACCCCATTTCATTTCATAGTTGAGACGTTTTTACATTTTAAAACAATGAAATAGCGGACGTAAGAAATTGATTTGGCATTTGGAATTCGAACCGCTACTGTCCTACTATAATCACCTACACGTGTGATATTTTAATGTTTTATTATTTATGTTTTGTGTGATGTGTTATTTGATCAAATACAATATTTAAAAAAATGAATGAGTTCTATCTGGATGAAATGTAACAGGTCCGTTAAATATACAGGTCACAATTCTATGGAATACAATTAATTAAATTAGATTCCCTTTAGGTACACGTAATTTAGTGGTATCTCTGGTTGGTCAGCATTAACTAATTATTGTTGTGTACATGTATATATTGTCTTGTTATATTTTCATATTTTATAATTGTTTGATAATGACTAGAGAAGCCTGGTCGAAACTTTGCTTAGTAATAAGCAGTAATTGCATTCCATAGAATTGTGACCCGTATACTCCAGACTTAGCTACTTTAAATTTGGATTCTTGTGGTGTAGTTTGAACGATTGGTATTAGATATTTTGATTATTGGCTATTGAACGTAACACAATCCATTAAAATTCAGGTATGCTGTCAACTTTGAGTAGATTAGAATTCCCTTTTTTGATTTCACATTAAGTGATTTATATATAGTCTATGTAAATACCGGGTTGTTAGAATAAATAAAACACGGGCTTATATAAATATTGGATATATATAGATATACATTTAGATAAATAGTATATGTTCTTGTAGCCACTATGGGAGACACGGTTGCTCAGTCACTAATGCGATGACACACTAACCGGAGTGTTACCTGGCTCCATCTCGGTGTTCGCCGAAGAGTTTCCTCCGTTTCCCCTTGTTAGTTGTTCTTGACTCTGAAGGTCTGACGAGTGTACACATTGACGTGCACATTAAAGAACCTCGACAGTAGGGGTTAGCCCGGGTGGTGCAGAAAAGCAGGATGTTCAGATCCATTTGATTTGTAGCCACAATAACTTAATTAGATTACCAGTCTCGCTTAATTTATAAACACTTGGTGGCTCTGTGGTATCTGGGTCGCTCTATGGTATCTGGGTCGCTCTGTGGTATCTGGGTCGCTCTGTGGTATCTGGATGGATCTATGATATTTGGGTGACTCTGCGGTATCTGTATCGCTCTGTGGTATCTGGATCGCTCTGTGATATCTGGGTTACTCTGTGATATATGAGAACTGAAATGAAATGAAATGGGGTTTAACGTCCTACTGTTCTGCTCCTATACTGGGCTAATGAAGACGGGCATGCGCCATACAGTGTGCTATGAGGGAAATTTTGCCTACTCTTATATCGAATTCCAACTGCCAAGGGATCTTTTACGTGCATTCCAATGTATACACGGAACCTCGGTTTTTCGTCTCATCCGAAGGACTAGACAGCTTTCCTTGTCAGCCCCTCCGTGGATGAACTTTCTCGGCCAATGCAGGGATCGAACACCCGACCTCCAGGCAGCGCCTTAGCCACTTAGCCACCGTGATCCCCGCTGTGATATATGAGTCCTCTGCGACAACTGGTTGTTTCTGTGACAACTGGGTGGCTCTGTGATAACTAGGTGGCTCTGTGCGCGTGGGTTTGGGTGTGGGTGTGTACTGTTTAAAAAAATGTCTGAAATACTAAATGAAACTATTGCTCCGATAAGCCATAAGCTGTGATTGTTGTCATGGACGAGACCGATTGGCAACGTTTTTGAAAATAAAAATTCGAATAATTTATCTAAATAAAAAAAAAATGTACACTTATGGCGGGATAGGAGAGGGCTCTTTGTGTGAGTGAAATGATTTGGATAAAATCAATTATTTCTGCTTTATAACTTTATTGGATATACCGTGGTCTTTGGACACCTTTTATAATAAATATCTATCTTTATTAATCTTTACGATTATTCTTAAATACATAAACTAAGTGTTGACGTGTGTTTATAATGAGTTCTATAATAAATACCTGGCCTATATTGACTAGTGCTTTTATTTTATCATAAATATATAAGTATAAAGTACCATAAAACCTTGTGTATATGGTTCAAGCACTGATAAAGATTAAAGCTGGCCGTTATACTAAGGTAAAATATACAAGAACTACCATAAAAGTTACCTGAAAGGAAACTCTTTAAGAATTAAGTTAGTATGTATAGATGAATAACATTCACTCGACAAAAACTAGGTCATTGCGGTACTAACATATGGTTCAATTGCATGTGACTAATTCGCTTGTGCGTAGGGGTCTTTAGGAGTAGAATGAAACCGTAGGACTTGGAGAAAACCGACGAGGTCGGACAGGCGATCCTACTCCCTGTCACATGTAGGCGAGGATTCGAAACCACGCCAGTTGACTCAATGACAGACCTGATGATCTTAACCTCACGCGTAAAGAAATTCGGTCACTTAACCCCATTCGGACAAGTAGCCTTTATTAAATACTAACATTAAAAGCCCTATATATATATATGTTAATCAATCAATCAACGATAATATTATAACAGTTACGCCTACTGAATTCAAGTGTAGTGGTCTTTGAATCTATGGGATTATGCTGGGGAAAGAAAGACTGAAGAAAATAACCCGAAAAAAAGAAAAACTGAGGCCGGTAGGTCGAGGCTTCGCTTTCGAGGGATTTTTCTGAAGTCGTTCTTCCCCAGCATAACCGAAGTCGAGGACTTTATCTTGCTTATAAACCGTTTATGTTTACATGTACGTAAAATGAGAATATCGGAGAATTACAGTAAGAAAAACCTTATATCATGTTTTTTTATGGAAAATAAACCTACACTGGAAGAATAACCCGTTACAGGTTTAAAGAAAGACTTTCAGAAGAATAATCCCAAATTTCCCTGTATATATACAAAACCTCCCTCGACTTTCATACCACAAGTTATTCCGGGCATAGAATATACCCCAAAGATCAAAGAGATTTACCGTTATAGGCTTATAATTGTAGGATAAAGCACGAGGCTGGGGTTATTCTGGGGAAAGAAAGACTGAAGGTATTTCTTTCGAGGAAAACCTTAGATCATGTTTTCTTATGGAAATTAAAACCCTACCCTGGAAGAAGGGTTAGCACGTTTGCCCTGTATCATAAAGTCTGTCATTGAGTCAGCTGGCGTGGTTTCGAATCCCCGTTTGTACATGACAAGGAGTAGTGTCGCCTGTCCAACCTCGTGGGGTTTCTCTGGGTCCCCCAGTTTCCTCTCACTGCTAAAGACCCCTACGCGCAAGCGAATTATTGTAATAAAATTGAACCATGTGTTAGTTCTGGTCAAACTATTTTTGCTGAGTTAGCTGTATGTATTAATAATAAATCTAGTTTCTTACAAATATACATTATATAATAAGAGATCAACCTCAACTAGAGTTATCTCGACTTCCATACAAGGTGATATCGATTACACGGTCTGTAATAATCAGATTATCGATCTGAATATATCACATTACATTAATCAATAAGTCTCGTATATCACATTACACCAGATAAGGCAATTAATGCTTGATTTATGGACACGTTAGTTAAAGATACTGTCGCAACATTTCAATGGTCGAAAAAAGGTCCCGAGTTCACAAAGATTTCGCAGACTTAAGTTAAGAATATACTCAAAATTGTTCGCCTTATTTTAACCAAATTATAGCCCTTTATAAAACAGTTGTTGTATTAACGTATCAAATACATCAACAATAAACTATGTGTCACGTTTTGTGTTTCTGGATCAAAGATATTTCTCATAAACAGTGATTGAAAATTTAGTGAATTCTTAACTTCAGTCTGAGAATGTTTTGTGAACTTGGGATCAGTAGTTTGGTTTGTTCCTCCAACGGGGGCACTATGTTGTAAGGAGTTGGGGTTGTACTTTTGTAAAAGGATAATAATTTGACATAAATCGTTTCATTATATTTTACGAGTATTTTGTTATAAATTGAAATAATGTCACTCAGCAGCATGCCATTACTGGACTTTCGATAGTATTTCCTACAAATGAACGTGTCGTGTTACGGTATCTCTGTGACTTTACTTTACCAATGTTTTATGTCGAATATATGGCGTTACTTTTGTCCCACTATTTGTTTAAATGAATGTTAAAGATGTATTATGTAATAGTTAAATCTATTTATTACAGGTTTTTATTTTGGCTTCAATTGTTATATAAATTATTATTTAGAGATTTTTTCACATGACAAGCCAAATAATGAACTCTCTAGATCATCGTATGGCGCAGATACAACCGGATTAAAATACGATCGCTATTTAATGATTTAATTTAAAAATAGAGAAGCAAGGCTGAAATAACGTTGCTACGTAACAAAAAACAATCTATGTCGAAACTTCAAACATTGATAAAGTCGCTCAGAATAAAATCATTTTGATTTATCTATTCTAGAATTATTAAATCAAGAACAGGGGATCACGTGGCTAAGTGGGTAAGACGCTAGCTCGCTAGCCTGGAGGTCGGGTGTTCGATCCCTGCATTGGCCGAGAAAGTTCATCCAGATTTTCCGGCGTGGTTCTCCCTTGTCAGTGATGCAGGACGGAGGGGCTGACAAGGAAAGCTGTCTAGTCGTTCGGATGGGACGAAAAACCGAGGTCCCGTGTACACATTGGCGTGCACGTAAAAGATTCCTTGGCAGTTGGAATTCGATATAAGAGTAGGCCGTAGTGCCGCTGTCCGGGCAAAATTTCCCTCATAGCACACTGTATGGCGTATGCCCGTCTTCATTAGCCCAGGTTAGGAGCAGAACAGTAGGACGTTAAACTCCATTTCATTTCATTTCATTAAATCAAGAACAACTATCTCTTTATCTAAATCTTAAATAATGTATCTTTAATCTACAGTGTCTAAATAATATGTCGTTATAATATGTCGTTATAGTTATAGTTATAGTTATAGTTCAATACTCAAGGCGTTTCTTTTTTCGTCTGTTTTCTATTACGTAAATATGTGTTATAACCATCGGGTATATATTAATATGAAATACGTAATCATATTGTTCTATCTTACAGGTTACCATAACCAATAGTCCACCTTTAATCACTAATAACAACCGTAAACTATATTACCTGTATTATATACCTGTATTCAACAAGCTCATAGTAACTTTAAACTGTTGTTAGGCTAGCTACGATTTCTGATCTGCATGCTCATGGTGACTATATCCATTACAAGAAATGCGGGACTACCAAGACTGTACATCACTTCTATATAGCTGCGTAATGGATTGAAGATTAGCTCCAGAGCGCATCCACGCTGTTCATCGTTCTGTCCAGTTACTTGGTGGAATATCCGTCCAGGAATATCTGCAGGGTTTTAAGCATCCCAGACTGTCTCTCCGTTGGAAGGAGTTGTGGAACAAAGTTTAGTTAATTCACTACAAATCCGTTCTCGTGAGTTATACTGCACTGTTATCTTCAATGTAAAATATTCTATTAACTGTGTGATAATATCGTTGTTAATGATTATTATAGTTATGGGATATTAACAGATTTAAGGCAGTGAAGCTTTGATGTTTAAACCATGGGACAAAACGACACAGAATAACTATCAAGTTTATCTCGCTGTTAGCAACCTGAACCAACAAATAGGGTTCAAACCCTCCTGTAAACCAATGTAGGGCTAGGTGGTATAAGGTGTTACATGCCTCGTTCTTGAAACTTGTAAGAGAACATTGTTGTTTTATTATAAAATGTAAACTGTTCCAAAACATTTAATTCGTGTCGATGGCGTCTCCGGAATACGTGGACCAACTGTCCCTGGATCTGTGTTCTTGTATCATATGTAAGAGACCTGCTCGCGGCCCAAAATGTCTCCCGTGCATACACACTTTCTGTAAATCATGTCTTGGGGATTATATAAGCAGCAAGATACAAGACAATGAAAATGGCGGGCGAACATTTCAGTGTCCAAAATGTTCCGTCACCAACACTCTACCTTCAGGTGCGTGCGCACCGTATGGAGAACTATTTCCGGATGATACGTTTGTGAATAAATTATCAGAAGTGATCAGTGCCTACAGTACTGATAAATCATGCGATGTTTGTGATCGACGTGATGTGTCAACCACGGCAGTGGAATGGTGTATGGATTGCTACGATTCGTTGTGTGAGTTATGTCGGGACGTCCATCTTCATGGCAAGATCACTTCAGATCATGTCGTCATTTCGCTGGACGAGATGCGAAATCTGAGTCTGGATGCCATCATGCAGCGGAAGCGAACGGTACCTTGTCCCCAGCATGAAGGTGAACTTCTTAATCTGTACTGCCCCGATTGTCGACAGTCTTTATGCGTCCAATGCGCAGCGATATCACACAGGAAGTGCAATCGATGCGTCACTGTAGCGGATGCTATGAAATTCCACGAAGAAGAATTCGAAGAGGTGCTCGTGAGGCTACAGGCTTTAGACACTACTCATGAAGATACTCCCAAAATATCCGATGCTGCCAGTGTTTTAGAGGAAACCCTCACAGCGTCAGCAGAACGCATCAAGGCCACAGCTGCAGATCTTCGGGAAAGAATTAATCAAAGCGAACGAGAACTACTACAACGTGTAGAAGAAGTTGGCGCGGAACTGAGGTCAAAAGTCGCGGGTGCGGGCCCATGTTCGAAGATAGATCAAATGACTATTATACGATCCGGCGGAGAACGAATGGAGGCGCTGTTAAATTATGGCAGCGATGTTGAGATTCTTGATGCTTTCAACGACATGAAGAAGACAATAGCCCAGATGGATTTTGACGAGGTTGATCCTGGACTCGACCAACTAGTTCGCGTCAACTTCAACATCGATAAAACTACCAAATATTTTAGCCGAGATTTTAAAACTCTGGGGGAAGTTGAAGTAGAGGATTGTCAGGTCGATGAAGGTTTATCAGCCTGGGGTGTCACGTGTACAGCACGTGATGAAATAATAGTCGCCGATTGCAGGAATAAAAGGGTCCAGAAGTTCGGTATTGAGGGGAATCTCATCGATCACATTCAGCTGCGCGATGAACCACGAGATTTGACGTGTATTAGTCGCGATGAGGTCGCCATTACTATCATGAATAAGAACATTTTCTTTGTCTCGACATCCCGCAGCATGAGACTAAGACGGAAAATAAAGACCGACAAACAATATGATAGCATTTCTATATCCGCCAGATTGGATAATCTGCTAGTCAGCTGTATGGAAGATAAATCGATCGACGTCGTTGATTTGGACGGTGTAATACTGAAGTCGTTCAATGCTGACGGATCGGGCGAGGCTATATTCCAAGAACCGCGTTACGTCACTTTTTCTCGAGAAGGTAATTACGTCATAACTGACGTCACCCAGAATTGTGTTAAATGTATTTCATCTGATGGTCGTCTGTTGTTCCAGTATCAACCGGATGGCTCGCATATCTTACGTCATCCACAAGGAATATGTATTGATAATATAGGAAACATCTTCATTGTAGACTATTCCAATAGTCGAATACACCTCATCACGTGTGACGGATACTTTCAACGATTTGTTATGGGTCGAGAAAGTGGACTCGTCCGCCCAGTCGCCATTCATATAACCCGGAGCAACAAACTGATCATCGTTCAGAGCGACGGAATGGTCAAACTCTTCACGTATGAATGACCCGGAAAGGTCAAGGTTAGCTTCAAGGTGAAATGCTGGTGCGCTAAATGTTGCGCCGCTACCGAGAAGCAGCTTAAGAAGGGTGTGTGTTAATTGCCGTGTTGTGTTTCTGTGATAATTGATAGAAAACTTCTTCACTTTTACATGTGGTGTTATTTTTATCATTTAATCTGTGTGTTTACGTCATCTGAATGGTTACAATCAACCAATCAGGCCAGTGGTTTACGTCATCTGCATGGTTACAGATAACCATTCAGGTCAGCGGTTTACGTCATCTGCATGGTTACAGTTAACCATTCAGGTCAGTGGTTTACGTCATCTGAATAGTTACAATAAACCAATCAGGTCAGTGGTTTACGTCATTTCAATGGTTACAAGCAACCAATCGGGCTAGGTCGTTTAAAGATACCCTTTCTTTGGTTAGCAGGTCATTTAAAAACACAAGTAAACCCTGACTGAGAATATTTGCATGAATGAGTTAACTCTCTGGTTACATTTTCATTTTCCTATATTTTGTTGTATTGTTTCAAATTAGTTTCACCCTTGGAAAATACTCAAATAACGCCACTAATTATTAATTACTGGCGAAATAATTATCACACGAGATTAAGTGAATTTAAGTTCAATGATTGACACCAATTGGTTTAACATGGTAAAAATTCTGAATACATACGATGTCGATGGAGATAAAATTGATAATCGATATCATTATCTGCCTGCTGTGCAAATCAATCCACGGTTGAATTATAATTTTGTAATTTGTTATCATATCGTTACATTGTTATTATATTTTGCCATAGTCTGTTATTGTAAAACTAAGTTATTGTAGCAGTGAGTGTATTGTAATTATTTATTACAATATTATAGTTGATGGCATTGTAATTGTTACTGTAGTAGAGAGTTGTATTGTAATTATTTATTACAATATTATAGTTGATGACATTGTAATTGTTACTGTAGTAGGGATTTGTATTGCAATTCGTTATTATAATATTACAGTTAATGACATTGTAATTGTTACTGCAGTAGTGATTTGTATTGCAATTCGATAATGTAATAGTATAGTTAATGGCATTGTAATTGTTACTGTAGTAGTGATCTGTATTGCAATTCCTTATAATAATATTATAGTTGATTATATTGTAATTGTTACTGCAGTAGTGATTTGGTGGCATTGTAATTATTACTGAAGTAGTGATTTGTATTGCAATTCGATATTATAATATTATAGTTGATGGCATTGTAATTGTTACTGTAGTAGTGATTTGTATTGCAATTTGATATTATAATATTATAGTTGATGATATTGTAATTGTTACTTTAGTGGTGATTTGTATTGCAATTAGTTATTATAATATTATAGTTGATTATATTGTAATTGTTATTCTAGTGCCGTACATGCTGTAATTGTTATTGTGGCATTATATTGTTATTTTAGTAGTGATTTGTAATGCAATTCGTTATCTTATAATTGTAATTGATTACATGCATGGTAATTGTTGTTGCGTTATTATAATTTATTGTATTGTAATTGTTATTGTTGTTAGTATTGTAGTGGCTTGTAATTTGTAGTAAAAGTAGAAGTAGTTGAGGTGATGAACCTCTAGAGTATATAATAGAATATATGATATATTACACCTAAAGTTATAGCATGGAGTAATATGGATGGTTATAATATCTATATATATAATACTGGGGTGGTTTCTTTACTTCATAACATTCTCTCATAAAATAGTCTCTACACAAAATCCATTGAGTTTACATTAGCTAAGTCCTGTTTTCTTTCATTTCGCGTTAGTTTGTTGTTGTCTGAGCGGTCTAACTTGAGTCAAGGGGCATGGTTTCCTCCCACTGACAAAGGCCTCTACCCACGCGACACAAGACATGATATTCGCGAAATAAGCTATCATCACAATATTAATGCTATGAGACTGTCAGTAAATACATACTAGTAAATATATGATATTCAACGATTATCTATAACGCAGGGATTTAAACTGCTCCATTTGTGGATTTCAGTTAAAAAAACGTTTAAACACATAACTTAGTACCAATATCTATATAAATAGTGCAACCCAATCTCTAGTCAATCGGATTAAAACACAGATCTTATTTCCTTTCGTTTTTATAGTTGAAAATTTCGTTTTAATTGTCTTTACTACAACAGGATCTGGAAGAGTTGTTATTATTGAAGTGTTCTGGATGATGTGACGGATTAGTCAATGAAGTGATCTGTTACGGTGAGTTTTGGCGTGTGGTGCACGAAACTGTGGGTAATCCACAAGCAACATCAATGCTGGTTGGTTAATCAAATGTCTGACGTCATAGGGCCAAAAGCCGTATGACCTTTGACGCGACCTCCAAAAAAACTGGTCACATCGAAATTATAAAAACGAAACGAAATACAGATCTGTATTTTAATCAGCTTGGTCTGTTGTAAGACTTGGTGTCAGGGTGTTCCAGGAAACGACTAACGGTATTTTGATAAGCCTGTTTTCTGAGAGAATTTTGTTTCTAACAATTTTGCCTGTATTATTTTTGTTAATTGAAATTCCTCTGATCATTATTTAAACGGGTTAATTGTTTAAACTAATGAAACAATATGTATATTTTTGTCTTTGCAGTTTAATGTTTATGTGTCTCTTCAGAAACTAGTTAGACGATTTGAAGTTTAATGCTTATATGTCTCTTCAGAAACTAGCTAGACGCTTTGCAGTTTAATGTTTATGTGTCTCTTCAGAAACTAGTTAGACGCTTTGCAGTTTAATGCTTATATGTCTCTTCAGAAACTAGTTAGACGCTTTGCAGTTTAATGTTCATTTGTCTCTTCAGAAACCCGTTAGACGAAAATAGCAGAAGGTTTCGTTAAAACTATCTCTGTTGTTTTTTTTTTGGAGAAATATTTGAAACCTAATCCCCTTATTGTAAAATTTCTGATCCAAAAAAAAGAATGAAAGAGATGGATCTGGCACCAGTTGTTTTAAAAATGATATTGTTGAATGTTACAATTTCTAAGATGTGACTCTTATAACAACACTTAAATCACAGCATCCTATATTATTATTATTATTATTATTGTTGTTTTTTTGAGTTTTCAGTTTTGAGGGTGGTGACACTTAAAACAAGAGTTTCCTCCCACTGCTAAAGACCCCTAGGCGCAAGCGAATTATGGAAATAAAATTCAACCATATGTTAGTCCCGAAATGACGTAGTTTGTGTCGAGTGGACGTTAAACCCCATTTCTCTCTCTCTTCTCTCTCCTAAAACAACACTTAAACATACATTATCAAATGGCTAAATCTGCCTATTGCAGGTCTTTCTTTAGGCCTGAAATGTTATATAATTTATTAATTAGACATTAATTAACATAAAAAGACCTTAATCAACTCTCGATGCCACCTACTGTCTAGGATTTTCAATGGATTTGAATCCCATCTGCTGTTCAACGCTCATTAATGGTTAAAATGGATAATCGAGACTATGTTTTTATCTTACCGACTTTAGTAAATATGATCAAGGCTAGGCCTAAAATTCAATCGCGAATATCTCGGTTCAGAGTTGAGCAATATGACTGAAATTTTCAGCATATTCCCTTTACATTATCTAGTTTTTAACTATTATAGTGAAAACTGCCAGCTTTTTATCTAATCTCCCATAATGTATCTTTAAACAAAACCATCCTATATTGTTATTATTATTATTATTATTATTTTGAGATTTGAAGTGGTGAATATTTATTATAAATTAAAACTGCATTTACAACCAATCCGTCCGATTATATACTATATATACCATATATATTTGGTTATATATCTTGAACTAATGTTTTATATATTACAGGCTGTTGCTTGTATATTATATACTATAATATTATTTAACATGTATATTTGGTTATAGCTTGAACTAATGTTTTATATTTTACAGGCTGTCGCTTGTTTAATAGTTTGTATAATAAATATAAATGATTTGCATTTCATAATATCTAAGTTCTTATCTTTTTTTTTAAAAAATTCAACCTCGTGGGTTTTCTCCGGGTCCTCCGGTTTCCTCCCACTGCTAAAGACCCCTATGCGCAAGCGAATTATTGAAATAAAATTATACCATATGTTAGTCCCGAAATGACCTAGTTTGTGTCGAGTGGACGTTAAACCCCATTTCTCTCTCTCTCTCTTTTTTAAAAATTTATGTAGGAGGATCCGTACGGGAATACCGTGTTGAGAATTCTCCCTTACCACTCGACTACCCTCCCCCCCCCCCCCTTCTCCACCACGCTAAAAATTGAAGCAGTGTATGAGGGGCGGATCCAGGTATTTTTTGCAGGAGGGGGTTTGCCAAGTTCCCCCTCTGGATCCGCCCAGATGATAGTTTATCCTCATTTAAACAAGTACTTGGGTTACACCACATCATTCTTTACATCAGTTATCAGTTCTCCTCGGATTTAAACTGTCATGATTGGATAAAACCATTGGCTAAATGAGAATTCAAATGAACACAAATTTGTTAAATTTATAATTTAGATCTGGATAGAAAACGAAAGTAAGGTCTGATTGTAATCCTGGTACTAAGAGTAATGGTGTTCCTATATCAAATTCTGGATTCTCATGAATCGCCAATCTCGTGGGGCTTTCTCCAGGTATGCAGGTCTTCAAAATCCCTGTCTTCTCATACCGTATGTTAGTCCTGGAATTCCAACTGACACAGTAAAACATATAACAATTACTCGTTCATTAAAATACGAGGTTTTTACATAGACTCAACATCATCAAGCAGTGAACTGGTATAAGGGAGACAACTCCTATTAAGAAAATTCAACCGAGCTTGATTTTTGAACAAAAAGTCAAAACGGGTTGCGGAACGGTTGGTTTTTTTTACGGCACACAGTGATCTAAGAATCCTGTATTATTTGTCGTGTAATAGAGGTTGATAAAAAGAGGATTTATTGTTTGCGGGGGGATGGGGGTGGAGGGTGATTTGAATCTGGTGACCATTTTAGGCTATTCCTATACCGTAGATCTAGAATTAGTGTTGTGTCTGAGTCTAGCTGTAAAGGTGATCAAGAACTTGATTTGGAGTATTAGTTCGTGTTTCTATATTGATCGCATATTTTGTCTAATTTGTTAAATAGCATCATGACCACATGGTAATTAGTTTACAAATTATGAAACTTCTCTAAGAGAATACAGGGCTAATTCTACATAGCATAAAATATAAAAGAAAATTTACTAAAAAATATAATATAAATTGATCTGAAAATAGTTAATGGCCTGTGTTCTTCTTAAATAGAGTTATCCCCCTTAGGATTTGTCTTTCTATCAGTCGTTCCCGGAATGTATCATATTTTTATCATCAGATCTTTGCTGGAGAATAGAATAAAAGGTTTGTAAGAGTCGTTCAAGCAACACCAACCAGTTTTATTCACTAAATTTCTCATATGCGTTAGTCGCGCGGTCAGACCAATGGAATATGAAAACAAGGAGTCTCGTGGTCTAGGAAAACCTTCGGGGATATTTTATGACCGAACACGTGTCATGGTGTCGCGGGACTGACCAAGATAGTGTCCCCATTCGTTCGAATAAGACACAAAACAATGACAAACATACAATAATGTCGTCTACATATTGGCGTACAAGTAAAAAAAAGATCGACTGTTTGGATTGGAAAGAGAATAGACAGAAATGCCGCTGTCTTGGCTAAAGTCACCTTCCTCGCATTTAACACGTGTCCATCCTATCGATGGAACGAATGTGACCGAGGTAGTTTGTGCACGAGACGCTAAACCTCATTTATTAACAATTAACCGTTTAAGTTGACCCAAATCAAACTGAGGCCATGTTTCTTACAGACGCCGATCTGTAATGTGTAACTTAAATTGTTGAAATCGGGGAAATTATTAAAGTTACTAAAATATTTTATTTAACAATAGGATTATTATTGTTGTATAATACGGTCATATTTACACAAACAAATAAACAAATAAAAACAATGGTGATGAGGCGGTGTATTTTTGGTATGTTGTTTACAGATAGAGTTAGTGTAATGTCAACACAATACAGCTGAGCCATCAGTCGAGTACATAGAGCAGGGATTTAGTTTGTAACGCAGATGTCTTATGCAATAAAATGAAATGAAATGAAATGGGGTTTAACGTCCTACTATTCTGTTCCTATACTGGGCTAATGAAGACTGGCATACGCCATACAGTGTACTATGAGGGAAATTTTGCCCGGGCAGCGAAGCTACGGCCTACTCTTATATCGAATTCCAACTGCCAAGGGATCTTTTACCTGCACGCCAAGGTGTACACGGGACCTCAGTTTTTCGTCCCATCTGAATGACTAGACAGCTGTAAACCATTTCTTTTATTCCTCCCTTACAACATCATCATTGTACTAAGCTTGGTCACCTCGTTCATTTCATGCATTTCATACTATATCGTTTAGTTTCCCTGTATTTTGTTTCGTGAGAGGAAACCGGCGAACCCGGAGAAAACCCGCGAAGTTGGACTGGCCACTCTACTCCTTGTAACGTACAACCGGGGAATCGAAACCACGCCAGTTGACCCAATGACGGATCTTATGATACAAATGATACAATGCGCCCGCCCTACCCCCGCCCCATAATGCAACAGAACCAACAAACACACCTATACAGTACAGTATAATACAGGTGTATTTTATAAAGTGGTGATCAGGGTGTCAGGTGTATTTGATAAAGACCTAGGTTGGAGATAATGTAAGTTTAATATAGGCCTAAGCTGGAGGTAATGATAACAAATCTGTTACAAAAACACTTAACAATATCTACCTATATAATTAAATACGTGACAATATCTACCTATATAATTAAACTCTACAAGATCTATAATTATTTCACCTGTAGTTAGTTTAGACAGGTAAACAAACCCTCTATTATAATCATTTTAACCTGATAATCACGACTACATCCACCTATAATTATAACACGATCAACCAGTATGATATTACAGAATCTATATAAATATGAGATAAGAGAGGATACCTATTAGAGGTTTACAACCAGAGAGTTTTATTGTTAAAGTCGACATTCAGACTCTTCATATACTTCAGTGATGGTTAAATGATGCGAGTAATGATCCTTCCTCCTATACATACAACAACAACCTGTTTTATTACAAGACATATTGTCCACGTTTTGTTAAATTTCATATAAAATAAGTTAAATGACCAGTGTCCAGGTTGTAAAACACCTGTAATTATTATTTACCTGAGATATCTAGACAGGTTAATTGACGTGTGACGTAATACAATGAATAAAGGAACCAGATGTTATAGGATGTCGTAAAACTGACCAACTTGTTCAATAACATGTTTTTTCTTGGCCAATTTTATTCTCATCAACTTTCCGTGTGAAATGAGGTATTTTTGATATTTGTTACTGGCAGAAATGACTCAAGTAAAATAAAACTGAACCGTGAATACGTATAACGATGTTCAGATTCAGTGCCAGATTAACCTTGTGGGGGGCCCGGGACATATCAACTGTGCGCGGGCGCCCATTGTTGTTTGTTCAAATTGTTCGGACTGACCGCGGATCGTACTAGTATGTACTCAGCCACCTTGAGTGCCTGAGGGCCCCAATATCCCTTACTGCCCAGGGCCCCAATCCTCACCCCCTCAGCCCAGGTACTGGTTGGCTCCGTCCGGGATCAAATATTAGTATGACCCAGAATTGTGGGGGAGTGGGGCCTAAATGTGGAGGGCCCGGGACATTTGTCCCACTTTGCCCCCCCCCCGCCCCCTAGATCCGGTACTGTTCAGATTATTATTAAAGAAATATTCAACAAACTGTTTACAATTAATGTATTTAGTTCACAATATTCTATTTTTAAAATACAGATGTGACGTCATCCTTTGATGTTGGCGTATCGTTATTTCATAAAATGGTATGGGCAATGTTAAAATTTAGGACTATAAGGTAATAAGGTAATAAGGTTAAAAGTGCTGGTCAGATAATTCCTAGACTGGGTGATAGAAACTAAAAACAATTCACCGGATTATAGACGCACAAACATGGCCACTTGAGATCTGTTTAGCGTCCTACTGTTCTCCTACGCCTTTTATACACCCTTTCTACCCCGTTTATACCCTTCTACCCCTTTTATATCCTTTATACGTCTTTAATACCCACATTATATCCTTGTCTGTGGATTAAATCCCCAACCACATCATATCCCCATCTCTTACTCAATCCGGGGTGTCAGTAGTCTGTGAAGAATTTTCAGCAATAGTCCCACCGTATCTCCGACTCATCAGACCGCAGATGACCAGTAGATGACCTTACTAGGCAGCAGCCCCACCCTCAGTAGATATAATGAAGAGTTGGAACATCCCCTACCCTTCAGACATCATTCACTAGTATCCGCCCCTCCCCTACCGGAACCCTTTTCTTAATTTCATCAATTTTTTTTATGTTAAATGTCCATATAAGTGAATGTGAAAATGAAACATGTAAATCGTTTTATATAAAATAATTTATATTTATTAATATTAATACAACAAATACACTTTAAATCATAAATAATGATTTCGATTATACATGTATCTATATTCTTTGTTTGGGTTCAAATTGAATAAAGTTAGTATTAAACAAAATAATAGTTATAACAGTAGACTTTATGTTTTCGTCACGGTGGTATTCCAAATTTACAACTGATGTTTTAAGAGATACACAAGTCAGTGCTAAAATAATATCTATATACGTGAATGAAGAATAAATTACTTTTATCAAAAAATGTGTTGGGATGGGTTTTTGCTTTGTTTTGTTATAATTGAAAATGAAATTTTAGGATGTAGAAATAGCGACAGTGTCAACCCTCAATATATTTACTAAGCTTCCAGTATAATATAAAATATAACAATATACTCCATCTTATTATTGTCCCAAATAGGCGACCTTGGAAGAAAAAAAACCAAACATGTATTATTGTACATTTACTGAACATATTAGACATCCCATGGCGATATTATATCGTTGATTTAAACAGAAAGATATTAGACATCCCATGGTGATATTAAACCGTTGGTTTGAATAAAAATACAATAAGAATATTGATAATTAAGTTAGTTTAAGACTTGGTTATTTGATTAGTATCTTGAAACCGCCACTCTTATCTGGAAACATAATGTGGTATATCCACTCAATAGTTAATTGTTATTTCATTTTCTTGGCACATGTCCAACATAACGTGTAATATCAATTGTCTAATATCAAGAATAATATCAATTGTTTATCATGACATATAATATCAATTGTTTAACATCAAGTATAATATGTGTTTCTATAACAACATCTATATCACAGTATAATTATCCACTTTACGTCATATTCTAATTATAGCCAGACATAATAACTGATAAATCTAACTTTAAAACACCGTCTGATTTTAGTTCTGGAACATTCGACTGCTACAGAGAGAGCTTTAGAACACCGTCTGAACCTATTTATGGGACATTCGCCTGCTACAGAGAGAGCTTTAGAACACCGTCTGAACCTAGTCCTGAGACATTCGCCTGCTACAGAGGAAGCTTTAAAACACCGTCTATACCTAGTCCTGAGACATTCGCCTGCTTAAAAACCGTCCTTGAAGACAAAAACCAGCTTCCATTCGCCTCGAGGAAGCGTTATAACATTTATCGTCTGAACACTAACAGTCAGGTCTAGAATTACTAGATTATCAGACTTTTCCGTAGAGCGTTTCGTTCCCCTCCGCGGTAGACACCAACTTGAAAAGTTGACGTGGATGCTATCCATCAACTGATGTTACAGGTAGACGGTACCGCTCTTGATGATTTGAGATACGTTACTGTTATTCATCATATCGCGATCACATGCGCAAAGCCACAGATACTTTCAATTCATACATACACATCTTGTGGATTATGACCAAGGTGTGTCACGTGGTAGCTGTCGTCGGGAAATATAGATAAATCATCCACGAATTGATCATTGTCCACGGTGTAACTACCCGATGTTGTCGTGGAATGTCCATCGTCCACGGTGTCTACACTGTACATGTCTATATCGTGGTTATATACGTCACTATTTCTATAATTTATTCTATGATGACGTAATTCCGTCCTTCCACCATATCGTGTATTTATATTGTCATTATATTGATGAAAACCGTCGCCATTTTGAGTAAATATTAAATTGTTTTGTTTATTAAAACTTTGAGTCGTTTGTTTATTATTTCGATTATCATATTTATATTTTGAATTGTCTAAATATTGATAATTTTCTGACACATGTTTTAAACAAGGGTCTCGATTGTCATATGTCTCACTATTTGGTGTTAAATTTTCTTTATTTAAACCCGATGGTCCATTTCCGCTAGTCTTGATTTTTAAACTATCTGTTGCATTCACGTTAAGTCTGGTATGATGGTGACTAGGTGGTGTCGCAGTGTTAACAGATCTTATCTGTTCGAGTCTAAAATAAGATGGCGGCTGAATGGAACCTTTAAATGTCATCATCTGTTTTCTCGGACTGTTGGGAACACTTGTAGCACTATCGTCTGAAAACAAAAATATATTAATACGGTAACCATGGTAACTATGTATTAAAAGGTGGCTCAGTGGGTGACGCGCTGGCTCACTAATCAGGCCCCGAGTTCACAAAGCATTCTCAGACTTAAGTTAAGAATTTACTCAAAATTGTTCGCCTTATTTTAACTAAAATATGGACCAATATAGAGAGAGAGAGAGGGAAATGGGGTTTCACGTCCACTCGACACAAACTAGGTCATTTTGGGACTAACATACGGTTTAATTTTATTTCAATAATTCGCTTGCGCGTAGGGGTCTTTACCAGTGGGAGGAAACCGGAGGAACATTATAAAACTTTTGTTGTTATAATATTTCAATATACATCAAAAAGAAACTATGTGCAAAGTTTCATGTTTCTGGAACAAAGATATTTCTCTTAAAGAGTGATTGAAAGTTGAGTAAATTCTTGACTTAAATCTGAGAATGCTTTGTGAACTCGAGGCCAGAAGCCCAGTGTTGGTTTCGGAAAGTAAACTCTATTCCATTTTCCAGAACATGGAACCATTCCAGTGCCCACAACTTACTCATAATAATTTCACTAAATTGAACTATATCAGGAGCATGTTCGTATAAGGTGATTATAGTGACGACGCTGATGATAACAGTTAGTGTTAATTAATCTAAATGTAGGAATGATAGTAATATATAGACCTATTAATATTTACAAAATCATAATACACATAATACTCGATTGATGTTATATACAACAGTGAAAATATTGAAACTATTTTATCAGATATTTAAACAACAGCTATACATGTCCATGTATGTCTCAGTGCTGCTAAAATAATATCTAGATGGATAGTTACTGTTACTAAGGATGGTATTACTACGTGGTGGGGGCGGGGCGAATAGTTAGCACGTGCGCCCTGTATCATAAGGTCTGTTATTGAGTCAACTGGCATGATTGCGATTTCCCGATTGTACGTGACAAGTAGTAGGGTTTTCTCCGGGTGCTCCGGTTTTCGCCCACTGCGCGCAAGCGACTTGTTGAAATAAAATAGAACCATGTGTTAGTCCCAAAATCACCCAGTATGTGTCAAGAGATCGTTAAGTCTCTCTCTCTCTCTCTCTCTCTCTCGTATTACTACGTCCTGATCGTGTGATTAGTTATTATCAAGAACGGCATTATGGCGCCTAATTATTCTACAAGCGCCCTGTCATTATTGTATAAAATCTATATCTACCTTGACCTTCACCTTCACTGGCACCACGCCCACTGTCACACCCATTTGTCTCCCCTGATACACTACTCAACACATCACTCATCTCGGTTTCCTGAACAAAATAAAATAAAATAAAATAAATTATCACATGGGATTGGATAATACATCTTATTTCATGAATTCCTCAAGAAATGGCCATGGGACTGGATAATGCATGTTTAAATATAACCCACTGAAATCTAATACCATAAATACCACAAGGAATCTGGCCAAATTGGTATTTATCATTTTAAATCACAATACATTAACCCACATGATTAAGACAATCATCCTATTAGCTAATGAACCAGAAAGATTTTCCCCTGTAAAAATTACAGACTTAAACCAAGAAATTCGTTTATATTGATTCAATTAACTGAACCCTGAAACGGTGTTTAACAGACTATAAAATAACACTTTACAAACAAAGAAATAAAATTCTCAAAGTTTCTGGAAATAATGAATTATACTCGGGATTAAAAGGCGGTTAGTGAATCTATTATAATTATTAACTGAGATTAAACTGTATATACCAGCATCTTATGTATTCCTCAATCTTTCTGTATCAACTAATTCAATTTAATTAAAACTTGGTGATCAAACGATCGTAGTGTGAATAAGATAGGTTTCTATTCATTTAATAAAACGAACCAACAGTAGTTCTAAAGTAAACTAATTATTTTTATCTAAAACCGTAAACTCTCTGATTAAACAATTAGTTGATGAAGTAGAAAGCGTACCTCAACAATAACCTTGAACATATCACCACGACGAACAAAAGATTAGTTCGAAACCTCGTAGGACAAAAGATTAGAATGGATAAATTAAAAGAACAAATGATGAAAGCATCCCCTAGACAACAAAACCATTTAGAACAGGCCATTATAAATAATACGTATTAAACTCGTGACGTAAACAACATGAATTGAATCGTATTAGATGCATGGCGTAAAGAACACAAGAATTGAAACGCATTAGATGCATGACGTAAACAACACAAGAATTGAATAGTATTACACGAATGACGTAAACAATATCAGAATTGAATACCAAGAAATTTAAATGACCAACCTTTGAAAAACTACAGTCACCGCCATCCACTTGATATTTCTCTGCTAGTTTCATTTTAAAGACGATTAACTCGTCATTGGAGGGTGGAGGAGCCTTTAAAGATTCTCTCTTGAGGTGTAAAGTTGTCTCGCCACTATCGTAAACATGTACACCCTCCTTGTACATCGTATCTCCAAGATTCTTCATATCGTATTGAGAAAGTTGTTGTAAATGTGTTTGTTTATCAGTGCGTTTTAATAATAAAACAACTGTAAGAACTAATATAGCAACTATTAGAGTTATACTAACTATTATTATAACTATCAACATATTGTGTTCAGTGTGATTAATATAAGCTAAAGAAGTAGAATTTCCTTCTATTATAATCATGGTAAAATTAACAATAACAGATTTCGACTGTAAACCTCGATCAGAAACTATCACTGATACACTAACATTACCACAATCTTCTAAACTCAATTGTTTATTTAAAAATATAACTCCAAAAATCTGATCGATGATAAAATATTCGGGTTTTTCTGAATATTTTAGTTGATAAATTAATCTAGAATTATCTCCTTCGTCCTCGTCCACGGCTTCTACATGGAGAAGTTCGGTTCCTGGAACAGTCTGGTAAAAGATGTTGATGGAATCGACAGAAGAATTTGGGAAGCTAATAAAAGGTTTATTATCATTTTCATCCAAGATATAGACATTAATTTGAACATCACCAGATTGTTGTGGAACTCCCAGATCGTAAGCTGTAATGATAAAACTATAAAAGGCTTGTTTTTCTCTATCCAGAGTTTGTTGAGTTGATAAATAACCGTCTTTAGATAAAATAAAAGGTGAAGTAGAATTAGTTTTAATCCTGTAATTAAGGCGGCCATTATTTCCACTATCTACATCGTGAGCTAGTAATTTACCCACAAAAGTCCCAGGGGCTGAATTCTCTTTGACGTTAAATATATAAACAGGTTCATTGAAGTACGGTGAATTGTCATTTTCATCAGTTATTGTTAAATATACGTCTACAATAGCAGAAAGAGGCGGGATTCCCTCGTCTACTGCTATTATAGATATATTCACGTGCTTCTCAGCCTCGTAATCAAAAGAACCTAACACAATGACGTCACCTGTTGTTTCATTCACTTGAATTGTTGACGTCATCTCAGAAACATGGCCAAGTTTGTACATCACGTGTCCATTTTCTCCGACATCTTTATCCGTTGCTCGAACTTGCAATAATTTAAATCCATTTTCATTATTTTCTGATATGTTGATAAAATATTCAGATTGTTCCACAACGGGTGGATTGTCATTGACGTCATACAGAAGAACTGTTAAACTAACTTTTGTTTGTAATGGCGGCCGTCCGCCATCTTGACACACCAAAGTAAGTTGATAATCAGATTTAACTTCGCGATCTAAAACCTGATTCAGTATTATTTTGTATTGATCAGGTTTGATTTGTCGGACACTAAATTCAGTAGAATTTGGCACTTGGCACGAAACGTCCCCATTTATTCCAGAATCCACATCTTCTGTGACGAAATGTGCGACTAAGGAGCCGACACTGGTCGCTTCACTGAGATCAACTGTATGATTAGTTGATACTAGATTCAGTCGAATGACAGGGGGCGTGTTCACATTATCTAATACTGTAACATGGACGATACATTGTGATATTTTAGATTCAATCCCTCCATCTTTAGCTTCCACGATAACACTTTTGGTCTGGCCTTGAAGTGGCGTTAATGGTACAATAGGATAAACATTGCCATTTCTTGAGCTTACAGAGAAATAATTCACCACGTCAAAGTCAGTTTGTCTGGAACTAAATCTATAAGTAACTTGTCCATTTTGATTCAAGTCTGGGTCTGTAGCAGAAACTGTAACTATGGTTACATTTACAGGAGCTGTTTCATTAACACTGACGTTGTAGACGGTGTTTAGAAAATGAGGCTTGTTGTCATTGACGTCAGTGACGTTAATATAAACTTTCATTTCGCCTGATCGTCTCGGTTGGCCGCCATCTTGTGCCACAACTGTTAATTCATATCGAGAAACAGTTTCCCTATCTAAAGGTGATTTTAAAACAATGCTTACTTCCATACTACCGTCCAGTTTTCTTTGTGTTTGTATATTAAATACATCACTAGCTGGCACCAGTGAATAAGACTGAACGGAGTTATTCGCCCCTGTATCTAAATCTGTGGCGCCATCTATTAAAAATGACGTCCCTGGTGGCGACGATTCTAAAAACGATAGCTCAGACGATGATCGGAGAAATATAGGTGAATTGTCATTAATGTCCACTATCCGGACAAACACTGTTAACGTTTGGAAAAAAGATGATCCGACCAACAAAGACTGTATTCCTACATTCAGTGTTAATACACACAAAACTTGAAACCGACAAACCGTTTCTCTGTTTATCCTTTCCCTTGAAGAAAGAATCCCTGTTGAATTGTCTAAATGGAACTTGGTACTTCCAGCGGATGAAAATAACCGGAAACTGAGTAACGGAAGTTCCCCAGATGATATCACAGATGAAACGTTAGAGTTTGTCGATAGATCAGCGATACGAACTGGCGGTTCCCTCTCCTCCTGCAAATCATAATACAGTTCTTCAACGATCTGGCCTGACACATTTGTTATCGCCATCATGGCACCGAATGCTATAATTAGTAAAGTAACACAGGCCATTGTTAAAATTATATGAACACCGTTCCTGCTTTGTTAATATAACTTTATTCGGTTAGAGTTTATCGAGGTTAGATGATCTGGATTAGGATGGTTTTCGATCTTTATGACGTCTCTATCACATGAAACACGTGGTTAATATAACTCCTATGAATACTAACACCATGGGATATTAACTAACTATAAAACCTCGGGTTTATCATGAATACTAACACCGTGGGATATTAACTAACTATAAAAACTCGATTTTATCACGAATTGAAATCTGATGCAGTATTTTACTTTTTGAATGAAACTTGAATCAGTTACCTGATCACACCTGTACTTGATGTCCACAGGTAAAAATTACCTTAATAAATATCCTATTCTATTTTATTGTTCACCGATCGTCTTTCATTAAACCCACCACAGTTGGCACTCATGAATTCACTTTCAAGTTTACAATTATAATCATTTATCACTTCTATTTCTTGTTTTGAACAGTAATTTTAATTTAGGATAAAAATGACTTTGAATTTTTTCTCCAAATATTTCTCTAGTTACACAACGTTATACAAAGTTTTAGACAGACAAACATCGACAAACCAAATACAGTCAGCTTCAAGTTGTCTATACCGAATACCAGCAGTTGAAATAACATCAGTGATAATATTAGTGTATACTTGTCATGTAATGTTCATAAATACTGGACGGACGAATTTAATTTAATTTATATCCACGATCCAATAAAATGTCACTTCCAATACATTACACAGTTTCGTCCTTGTTACATATCACAGTATTTGTCCAATAAATACTAATTAATCTCAGATATCATTATTTAATATTGTCAAATTTAACATTCTGTAAATCGTCACTTTAGATCGAAGATCAATTGTTGGTGATATATTACCTTATAGTAATTTTGTCCTCGGGTTACAGTTAGTACAGGGTATCACGTATTATTTAATGTTTTGTTGGCTGACTGTTTTTAAAGTTCACTTGATTATGTGGAAAAGGTTGCAGTGGTGTTCGTGTTTTAGATTTAAACTTCAGTAATTAAAACAAACACACGTGTAGATAGTCGAGATAGATATGTCATCTTATTTTACTTCTTCTGGTTGATAAAACTACACTGATTGTCAAATACACATGTAGACAGCCGAAGTAGATCTGTCATCTTATTTTTACATCTAGTTGATAAAACTTCACTGATTGTCAAACTGTCCAGTATATTCTTGTTTATCCTTAAAGATTCTGTTATTAAGAAACAACACAACAGTGTCCTCTGTATCTGGTTTTAATAAATCCAGCTACATCGTTTCTACACGTAACTCTGTATTTTCTTAAACAGTATTATAAGATACTCCAACACCTGAACAAACAGGTACTCAATAACTTTACATATAATTCACATACAACGTTTCAATACGTGTATTTACATGACAGCTATGTTTCTCTAAATAAGTTTTTCGTGACTTGTATGCTATGACCTGTCTCTAAGTTGTTTTTGCTCCTGTAAAACGGTTAATGGTGAATCTTTCTTATACTCGGTTTAATCTGTCGCTGTAACTATTTCACGGTTACTGGTCTGTTTAACGACGGATTATACAGCCAATCTGACACATTGTTACAAATATATCTGTTAAGACACGCCTACATTCACTCATATCCACCAATCAACGAACAGGATACTTGATCTCTGTACCGCGTGAAGTATTAAGGTTCATCATGACAATCGGATATCTGTAAGTTTGGGTTAATCCTAAAATTCAAACAAACTCGCTCAGTTAAGCCGCTTGTAATACTTGTAAAGAGAAATATTTTTCAAGATTACTTCATGGTCTTCAATAGAGTTTTTATAAAATATACAAGGTGGATTTTCTGGTGATTTAGTTGAGTTAGAGAGATTGTATTTATTACGAGTTCTCTAGCTGATCCTACTTTAATATCAAATTCTCTCTAAATAATTCTTGCTGTGTCTAATTTATAGGAGCAAATTATTACAAGAGATATATTGATACGTCCTCTCTAAATTATTCTTGCAGGGTCTAACTTACAGAGGCTTATTGTTACACGAGGTATATCGGTACGTCCTCTCTGAGCTATTCGTGTAGGGTCTAATTTCTTACAGAAGCATATTATTACAAGAGATATATTGGTACGGCCTCTGCAAATTATTCTTGCTGTGTCTAACTTACAGAAGCATATTATTACAAGAGGTATATTGGAACGTTCTCTGTAAATCATTCTTGCAGGGTCTAACTTACAGAGGCTAATTGTTACAAGAGATATATTGGTACGTTCTCCGTAAATTAATGTCTAACTTATAGAAACATATTGTTACGATCTGTTTATATTATACGAGAGATCTATAAAAGTACTGCTGACATCTGAAATCATTTAAGGTGACCATTGTCTTTTAGTTGTAGTATTCGAATAACGCGTACCGATTTGCATAGAGCAACTTATGGGGCTGTAATTATCTTGGAAAATTAAAGAAATATTGTTCAGTCCTTTTATTTGTTACATGGTTCGTGAAAGTGTTTATTATGGATATTTTCATTTACTTTCATTATTACCAACGCCATGTAGAAATTTAATAATAAAAATAACTGGGTTTTTTTGTATAATTCTGTGATATTTATTTGGACATTGGAAAGCAATAATCGAAGATAATTCACACATCAGACAATAATCAAAGATAGCTTACAGAACCCAGAAGTTGGTTGTAAAAATGGTTTGAGATTTCATTTGATTTTATAATAATGAATAATAAAAATCGCCACAACGGGTACTAGGACATTAATAAAGTTAATATTGTACAACATTAAATCAATACATTATGTACTCTCATGTTCATCCAACATACGACAAGGAGACCTATGTCAATGAGACAAGCAGAACTATATGACATTTATCAATGACAACACGTGAGCGCGAGACCTGGCAAGCACGAGACAGGATTAAAGGGTAAACAAACAGGTGAAGTTTGTCTTCAAATTCTTCCTCGGTTTCTACAAAATTTAGTCAATCAGTTGAACAAGGATTTTAACACGAAACGAAAACAAAGTCACAGATATGTGAATTAGAAGGAAGAGGGTTGAGGCTGGATTTGTCTGTTGTATAAATACAATAAATAAATACGAGTCAACAGTTTGTCAATATGAACTGTTAAACATAGAGGAGAGATTGATCTAAAACAACTTCTACTGACTCACAGGTTAGAATGGACTATTACATAATCATACAAAAACTTCGGTATCCGAGAGAGGGAAAACTTACTAAAGTTATTTTAATATTTTTCTTTCAAAATCAAATGAAATGGAATGGGGTTTAACGTCCTACTGTTCTGCTCCGACTGGGCTAATGAAGACGGGCATACGCAATACAGTGTGCTATGAGGGACATTTTGCCCTGGCAGTGGTACTATGGCCTACTCTTATATCGAATTCCAACTGCCAAGGGATATTTTACGTGCATGCTAATGTATACACGGTACCTTGGTTTTTCGTCTCATCCGAACGACTAGACAGCTGTCCTTGTCAGCACCCCCCCCCCGTCCTGCACCACTGACAAGGTGAAACCACGTCGGAAAATCCCAATGAGCCAGCGTCTTACCCACTTAGTCACCGTGGCTCCTCTTACAAGATGTGGAAACATTAAAGTTTATTTGATTGTTTAAGAATGTAGTATGTCATTTCAGAACTTGTGTGTTGGAATTAAGATAATGTAATAATTTCTGTGAGATTAACAGAAAAAAACGACGAAACATATTTGAACACAGCTGGACAACATGGACTAAATGGTGTTTAATTTCTCCACAAGCTGGGCCTACTATTAATCAAACCTTGTGGGGAGATAGAACAACATTTTTAACGATTGTTAGTTTATGTTGACTAAACTATAAATAAATAATTGAATTCAGTTTATTAACGTAACCAGAGAGTCTATAGTATCAATGATGAAAGGGGATTTTCAGAGAGAGAGAGAGGGGGGAGATGGGGGTTTAACGTCCACTCGACACAAACTAGGTCATTTCGGGACTAACATATGGTTTTAATTTTATTTCAATAGTTCGTTTGCACGTAGGGGTATTTAGCAGTGGGAGGAAACCGGAGGACCCGGAGCAAACCCACGAGGTTGGACAGACGACCTACTACTTGTCACGTACAACCGGGGATTCGAAAGCACGCCAGTCGACTCAATAACAGGTCTTATGATACATGATGCTAACCATTCGGCCATCCACCCCCCCCCCCCCCCGGATTTTCATAGAATGAAACAAAAATTAAATTTGAGTTATGTTCATGAAAATCCTGTTGGAATTGATCCATGAAAAAGATTCAAGCCAATTTATGACTTGTTCGTGAACGGAATTCGGCAAGGCGCATTACTCAGAACTATGCTATTTGATATCGTCATCAATGAATTTGAAATAAAGCAAGATTTTCTGTGAATAAAATTCGGCAAGGCCTATCACTACTGAGAACTGTGTATTTGTATATATTCATCAATGTATTTGATATAAAGAAAGATTGTTGGTGTGTAAAGTCTCAACCGATTCTATATGTACAATTCAGTCATTTCGGAATGAACACGATTTTTTTCCAGAACAAAAAACCGACCGTCGTGGATCTGTACCCAATAAAAACTGGCTAAAAGGACGGAAGTTGTATATTTCTCTATAATTTCACGAATATTTTTAATTCCCAGCGTAAATCTTACAGATAAATAAAGCAGATTGAAAATGTCATAGTATTTAACGCCTATTTCAGTACAATGGATTATTGGTGGCACTCCTGGGAAAATCAACCCAACGAAAACAAATTCTATCATTAAAATCAACTCTGTAAAGAACCTATACAAGGTTAAAGAAAACGTGTTATAAACCCTTGGATAATTCAAGCATTTCTTGTGTTCTAAAACCAGAATCTGACGGGTTAGATATCTGAAGATGTTTTTAGACCCGAGGATAGCTTACAAGTTTATAGCGTGACTGTTTGTGGGGATTTTACACGTTCTTTTGGTAGTAAAACAATTTGAAGTGGTTGATGGCGTGAATGTTACAACAAAGTTGTGAAGGTATTTATCCCCCTTGCTAGGTTATAAATACAATCTGTAACTCAACACTCGGTGTGTTAAAAGACAGTGGTTTAATGCTGTGGGGAAGAGTCAAGTGATTTGTAAATGTGTTAGGTGAAAAGTGTGACCTTCGATAAGACAGAGAGATGTTGGGCTATATTCCCTTGAGATATTGGTCTTATGTTGGTTGTAAATAGAAGGAAATCCTCGCACCTTGAAAACAAAAACAATCAAACTAAAACCCCTTGAGAAATTTTGCATTTGTAAGATTTCTTTATTTGCTTCGAGATGGTCAAAAAGTCAAAACCACCCGTTCTTTGTTTTGTAAAATTGTTTTATAAACTCCCTGAATGGATAGTAAAAGTTCAGAGAAAATTACCGCGCGAATCATAGATTATATCAGTGAAATTAGACGATTCTCTTGAATTAACATTGTAGTCTAGTGTTAAAAATTACTAATTAAACAGTTTACCATTTTGTGTTTTATATATACGACTTCTTATCGTTAATCAGAGAAAAGGGGATAAAGGGGAGTTTTAAATTTCACGGTAGAGGAAAGAACAAATAAAAAGTATCTTATCGTTAATCTGGGGAAAGGGGATAAAGGGGAGTTTTAAATTTCACGGGGGTGGGGGGGAGAGAACAAATAAAAAGTATTTTATCGTTAATCTGAGTAAAAGAAGGAAGTTATAAAGTAAGAATAATTTCACATTGTAGAACTATGGAGGAAAGAACTAATTAAAAAGTATATTTTACTTGTTATCGTTGATCGGAGAAAAGGTATAAATTGAGGCTTTAAGTAAGAATAGTTAGTTTTTATTAATTAGCCAGTCTGTGGGTGTAACAGTTAGGTTATTAAATACCCAGTCTGTAAACGTCATCTCCTTTGTTCTATTATGGTATCTCAGATACAGGAGGTGAAAGAACGCGCACCTGTAATTGAAGAAAACTGGAAAAAGATATAGATTTAGAGCGCAACCTGTAATTAAAGAAAATAGAAAAAAGATATAGATCTTAATAATGGAAAATGTACCGAGAGCGACAATTTGTTTATTAGAGGGGGGGGGGATCACGGTGGCTAGGTGGGTAAGACGCTGGCTCGCTAGCCTGGATGTCGTGTGTTCGATCCCTGCATTGGCCGAGAAAGTTCATCCTAATTTTCCGGCGTGGTTCCCCCTTGTCAGCGATGCAGGACGGAGGGCCTGACAAGGGCACTCGTCTAGTCGTTCGGGTGGGACCAAAAACCGAGGTTCCGTGTAAACATTGGTGTGCACGTAAAAGATCCCTTGACAGTTGAAATTCGATATAAGAGTAGGCCGTAGTGCCGCTGTCCGGGCAACATTCCCCCCATAGCACACTGTATGGCGTATGCCCATCTTCATTAGCCCAGTATAGGATCAGAACAGTAGGACGTTACACCCCATTTCATTTATTAGAGGAAGGGGTAGTTTTAAAGTAAAGTTATTTCCCATTGTTGTACGGTGGAGAAGAGAACTAATTAAAAAGTTTACCAT